AATATATTTATATGACCAAAGCAATAATTATTTATGATTATATTGGAACTGATAAAACAAAAATTAATCAAACTTTTACTGAGTGCCCTTAGGTATATTTTGTTTATAATTAAGGCCAACCATGATACAATTACACCTTCACAGTACACACAGAAAGCTAGTACAAGTGAACTCTACATGTATATCATTTAACATTGACTCTGCTCTCCCTGATTTTCAGATAAGTCCATTTAATTGTTTACATGAAGAGGTTTTGTATTCTATTTCTAAATTAACCCATTTTTTGTTGCATCCATAACTTCCTTACAGATAGTATCTTGTATTAAAAAGAAAAAAAAGAAAACCCACAAAATACTGGGTATGTGTCATAATCACACAGTCTGTATGGCTTTAAGTTACAACGTTTTTGTATTTATTTACCATCAAAATATTCTTGGAAATGTAATGAACTTTGCCTAAACACATAACATAAGGAATTAAGCAAGGTAAGGCAGCTGGGTAATTTTACATTTTGGATAAAATTTCCTAATTTATTGACAATTTTCTTCCTACTTTTTGGTGAGAGATTAGTTACCATATCAGTAATATTTGTAATTCTGCGAATATTATAATATTGTTTGGTGTAAGCCTATAACTTAACTTTTATCACTTACTTTCATATTAAGTCCTATGAGAAATAGATATAGCCCACCAGTATTGAGCACTATATACATGTGTACTTGCAACAAAACTATAATGCTTTATTGCTCTGTTCATAATTGTATATAATTATTCTTTGCATGGCCTAGATGCCTTAAAGTGAATAGAATGATGTTGTTGTTACAACAAAACTATAATTCTGTTAGCTGTTCAATTTCACTTAAAGTAATGCTGGACAGATGTATTTTCACAAATTTTATACAATAAAGCTCATGCATATTGCCTCTGTATTAATACATGAATATTTTATGACACTCCATTGATATTAACATATCTATGAATATTCTGTTTTGTTTTATTTCAGGGAATGCTACATCTAGTAACCAAGAACTAGCAAGTTATTTTGAGTGTCCAGTTTGTTTTGATTATGCTCTACCTCCAATAATGCAGTGTCAAAGTGGTCATATTGTATGCCAGAGCTGCCGACAGAAACTAACCATGTGTCCAACATGTAGAGGTCCTCTAGGTACTATATGGTTTTCTTGTGATTTATATAAGATAATAATGCAAAGATATTGTTGTATACTAATATCTATATATAATCAATCTAATGGAATAAATAAGGATTCAACATGTCCCCCCAAGAAGTGAAAAAATACACTACAAATTAATGCCATAAATTATGAATTTCAGGCTGTAAGTGGCCTGTAAGTTATCATTGTAAATAGACTTAAATTTTATATTTGTAGATTTAAAAATAGATAAAATAGAATATCAGTAATTGTTCTTTGTTAGGTTATGCTTAAATTTTTGTTACAGTACTAAATTGAAACGGTATCTTCAAAAAAAAGGAAAAAAAAACAACTACAAATATATATTCCTGTAGGCCCAGGCTAAGAGGTTGTACCTTTGTGATTCTGTATTAATATATATTATCATGATTTATTTAATCCTCATAATCCTTTTCACCTGTCAATATAATGTAGTATGGTTTTTGTGTCGCCTCTACGAAGTAGTGGCGACATATAGGGATCACTTCTCCGTCGTCTGTCTGTCCGTCTGTCCGTCACAAAACTTGTCCGGACTACTCCTCATAAACTACTGGTGCAATTTCATCCAAACTTTACAGGAATGATCAGTACCAAGTCTAGTTGTGCATATTGTTAGCATTTTCCGGTTCAATGATTTTTGGCAGAGTTATGGCCCTTTAATAATTTTTATTTTTAAAGTTTGTCCGGACTACTTCTCTTATACCACTAAAGCAATTTCAATGAAACTTTACAGGATTGATCTGTAGCTCAAGTCCTTGCGCATAGTGCAAGGGTTTTCCGGTTGAATGATTTTTGGCCGAGTTATGGCCCTTTGATAAAAAAGGTGTATTTTTCTGTGTGTTGCCAGATACACAAAAGCTTGTCCGGACTACTCCTCATAAACTACTGGTGCAATTTCATCTAAACTTTACAGGAATGATCAGTACCAAGGGTAGTTGTGCATATTATCAGCATTTTCCGGTTCAATGATTTTTGTCAGAGTTATGGCCCTTTAATAATTTTTATTTTTAAAGTTTGTCCGGACTACTTCTCTTATACCACTAAAGCAATTTCAATGAAACTTTACAGGATTGATCTGTAGCTCAAGTCCTTGCGCATATTGCAAGGGTTTTCCGGTTGAATGATTTTTGGCCGAGTTATGGCCCTTTGATAAAAAAGGTGTATTTTTCTGTGTGTTGCCAGATACACAAAAGCTTGTCCGGACTACTCCTCATAAACTACTGGTGCAATTTCATCTAAACTTTACAGGAATGATCAGTACCAAGGGTAGTTGTGCATATTATCAGCATTTTCCGGTTCAATGATTTTTGTCAGAGTTATGGCCCTTTAATAATTTTTATTTTTAAAGTTTGTCCGGACTACTTCTCTTATACCACTAAAGCAATTTCAATGAAACTTTACAGGATTGATCTGTAGCTCAAGTCCTTGCGCATATTGCACGGGTTTTCTGGTTGAATGATTTTTGGCCGAGTTATGGCCCTTTGATAAAAAGGTGTTTTTTCTGTGTGTTGCCAGATACGCAAAAGCTTGTCCGGACTACTCCTCATAAACTACTGGTGCAATTTTATCCAAACTTTACAGGAATGATCAGTACCAAGTCTAGTTGTGCACTGTCTGTCCGTCTGTCACAAACTTTGTCCCAACATGAAATTGGCCATCATGAGGCGACACATGTGATTACTGATCGCTCTTGTTTCAGGTAATATAAGAAATTTAGCCATGGAGAAGGTGGCTGCAACAGTAAACTTTCCATGTAAATATGCCAATAATGGCTGTCAAACCACACTACTTCACTCAGAAAAACCAGAACATGAGGAAACTTGTGAATATAGGTATACAAATAATACTAATATAGTGTATAGAATTCATTTTCTTTCATCTCTTGCCACTGAAAATATTTTAATTTCTTGATGGAAACAGAGACATTTTTAACTTAAGAATCGTTTCCTGTCATTTCATTTTGTCATTTTGTATGTTCTTTTGTAAAGGATATTTTCTTTATTGCCTTATTTTAGTTTTTATAAATTTCATTATACAGATTGTAGCAATTGCAACCCCTTTTATGCCTGATTTTCTTCTTTTTTTTGATGAAAAATTTAATGTGAATTGAAGAGAAACAAATATATAAAAATGTGATACAAATATTACAATATTACTTTTTTGGCTACACCAAACTTATGATTTATTGTGATATTTTATATTGTGCTAAATCAATTATACAGGAAGATCTTGCAATATACACAATTACAGTACAGTGTTATATATATTTCAGGCCATATTGTTGCCCATGTCCTGGGGCATCATGTAAATGGCAGGGAGGTTTAGAACAAGTGATGCCTCACCTCATGTCTTCACATAAAAGTATTACAACATTACAAGGTATATGTTATTTTGATTGATAGTTTATTTCACTCTCATCATTGTTGTCAAACATTCATACGAGCTCATAGAAAATAGGTGATATTACCAAGATATGCACTGGAACCTGAAAAAAATGAACATGTAGAAAGTCTTAGAAAATTAAACTTAATTAACCTAATTTTTTTAATGTTGGAAAACTTGATTCATGTCTTTACTGCTCTCTTTCCAAGACTTATAGCTCTGGAATGGATTTTGAATGAACTATAGTCTTTTGTGAACTTACTGTTGAAATGAAGATTTATATCTAATGACACCTGTCTCTTTGTTAATCCTTAATAAAACGTACTCTTGTTTTATTAGTTAACACTGAGAATAGTCAAGAGTGTTGTCCTCTCTTTAGTAGTATAAGATTCTTTAATAGATCAATGAACAATGTTATTATATTATATGTATGTTATTTTCCCAGGAGAGGACATAGTGTTCCTTGCTACAGATATCAATCTACCAGGAGCAGTAGACTGGGTGATGATGCAGTCATTTTTTTGGTCATAATTTTATGCTAGTCTTGGAGAAGCAGGAGAAAATGGAGGGACAACACATGTTCTATGCTATAGTTACAACTAATAGGAACCAAAAAACAGGCTGAAAATTTGCCTATAGGTATTTCTTTGTCTATACATACACATGGTTGAATATTTTAAAGATATATTGTTACAAGTTGAATTCAAAGCTTTTGAAAACCTGTGTTTAAAGCTATAAATCTGATGACTGTACTTAACAAAATCATTGTTTGATTTTTTTTAAAGAAGAATAGTATGAAAGAAAAATGTTTGTATATTTCCTTAGTTGTTAAAATCATACTTAAAATAGTTGAATAATATTTTGTCCATAATATATATTTTTTTCTAATTATGTACAATATTAATGTATTTTAAATAACAGAGACATTCTATGTTACAACTCTTTCAAAAATCTACTGTAGGATAATTGAAACATTGTAATTTTACTGTTAATAAGTTTTAATAAGTCTTATTTCATGAGAAACCTTTTAAATGGATAGATTTGGGGCCTTTGTCTTTACCCAGTCTGTCTGTGGACAACGTTAACCTTTGTCGAAACAATTTCATTTGAACCTTCAAATATTAGTATCTTAGAAATTTAACTGTAACTGTTACTTCTTAATAGATTGGTAAGATATAGAACAACGATTTCTGAATTATTTTGAAAGAGTTCAAAGGAACATATATCCTGTTGTGATACTATATAATTTTTACAATTCTTGTTGTTTCACATCAAATTTTATCAATTTTCAGATTGGAATTAAATGGTCACAGGCGTCGACTTACATGGGAGGCAACGCCACGCAGTATACATGATGGTGTGCAGTCAGCTATAAGTGCCAGTGACTGTCTTGTGTTTGACACTAATATAGCGCAATTATTCGCTGACCACGGGAACTTAGGAATAAATGTTACAATATCTATGTGCTAAATTACATCTGCAGTGTTACATGCTTAATTTGTTAATTGTTAATTTTTTTCTTTGAAGAACAACAGCACAAAGATTTTCAACTAAGCATTTATTTTATATAATGAATGATATATCTAACTTCTAAGAATCAGTTGGTGTCAAACAGTTGGAGTTGAATCTTCAACCTGGTATTTTACACTTACATGTATTTTAGAAAATAGTTTAGATTGTCTATGTATTTATCTTACAAACTTGGTGATGTTCTACCATCATTTGAAATTAAGCTCAGAAATACAAGAGGAATATATAACTGATGGTGGGATAACTTTTAAATAAAAAATCCAGAAATTCACATACATACTGATGGTACATCATCTTTCAGTTAAATGCTAGAAATAATTGGGAAATTTCATCTTTTGATGCCATAAAATATAATGGGGGGTATGCCAGATTTTCACCAGGAACACACTTTGGGGTATCCAAAATCACGGGGGAAACACATAATGTGTAGCCAAAAAAACCTAACACACAGGATGATGCCAGAAATACCCCTTCCAAAAACACTCGGGTGTATCCAGGGGTATGCCAAAATTTACCCCAGAACTAACTTTTGATTATGTCAAAAATATACCAGAACCCACAATTGATTTTTCTAAAATATACCTGAAATACACACAAGGGTTTGGGAAAAAAGATTCTGCAATTTTTTATATATTACAATTTTATCAGGGGACTTCAAGTTTTGAATCTTTTTTTTAAAATTTCAGATGAATTTTTTCGGATATAAAAAATTGTACAAAAGAAAAGAAAATCCTAGTATGGTGAAATATTCTCTATATTAGAAATTAACAAAAGAGTTCAGCTGACATTGTGATAAAAATGATGAAAGGTTCTTGTTGACATGATATGACACAATGTTATGGATAAAATGTTCTAGATGATATGATGAAAGATATTATTATTGTATGATGATATGATAAAAGATGTAGAATAACATGATGCTTTAGAAAATGTAGGACAACAAATTAACATGATCAAGGTTATAAATTGGTTTTGGTTAAATTTTACAAACTGATGTGATTTCATTAAAAAAATTGCCACAACATGACAATATGTTAAGAAAAAGTTAGTTAACATTATGATACTAATATTTAGGGTAACATGAAGGCATAATTAAAGGTTTAAGTCACATTTTTTAATGGAGAAAAGTTTTGAGATAAAATGAAATAACACATTTTTAACTTGACTATTCGAAGATTAGGGAAAGCTATTGTACTTGTGCAGGCGTCAGCATTACACTTTGGTACCTCCAATACTACTGAAAGGAATGGGTTAAAAGTTAAGACGCTTATTTGAGAGCATATTAGTAGGTTGCTTGCAAAGGTCCATAACTCTAACATGGATTTTGACAGAATTATGGCCCTTTCTTAACTTTTAAAATTCTACATTATCCAGGCTTTTATATTACTGTCAAGTATTGGGAGTAGTCGAGTATGCTGTGCTTCCAACAGCTCTTGTTTTCCTTGACATAGTCAACAGATTAATTTACAATTGTAAAATGATTTTGTTATTAAGCAAGAAGCAGTAACATTGTAGGTTTTTTAATTTATTTTTTTTTTTTGTATAAAAGTAATAACTTTTTGAATAGTATAATTGCAAAAAATAATGAAAACCTGTTATTGTTCACAAAATACATCAAATTACTGTTGAAATTGTGATATAAATGTGGAGTGTCATTTATTTTGGGTATTACACTTTTACATTCTGTATTTTGACATTCTGTGGGAGATATCGTTATATATGTGTGTCCTTATGTCTGTACCTTGTCTATTGAATTTGTTTTCTTGTGTTGCTTTAACCAGTGATTAAATGATTGATTACATGTAAACACAGAACCAAACCAAATTCTTAGAACCAGTCTTTATAACTCGCAATCCCATTGGTCTAAATCAAGTTTGAATTCAGATTCGACCAATCATATTTTATGATTTATGCTGTTTCTAAATATGATTGGAATTCAGATTCGACCAATCATATTTTATGATTTATGCTGTTTCTAAATATGATTGGAATTTTAGAATTTGGTTGCATAGTGAAATGCTAGTAGGGATGTTTAGGGGATAGCAAATATTTAGTATCATCTAATGTGCTTTTAATTTATTACATAGTATCAAAGGATTCAAATTATTCATGTTCATTATTTCAAATTGGTTTAATTTTAGCCTTTCACGTAATATGTCCTTGTTTGACTAGCATTAAAAGTGTTGCCGGTAACTAAAATATAAAAGTATCAAATTAAGAGAAAAATGCATTGATTATTTTAAAAAAATATTCTCTATTTACGTTACAAACTCATCCATGTACTTTCTTGGGGTATTGAATTTTTCTACAATATTTTTTCAGTGTGTTATTTTGTATATATGTACATCATATATAAAACTTTAAATAATTGTAATATAACTTGGCAATTGTATATTTACCTGTTGTAACTATGCATTTATCTTGATATATATACATAAGACTATTATCTTGGATATTTGTTTTGTTTTGAGTGAGTTATATGGATTATATTTCACTGATAAGTGATAATCAGGAAAATTGAAATATTATCACATATGTGTTAAACATTCATCAATAATAGTTTTGAGAGTTTGAGATTAGTTATATTTTATTTTCATGGAAAAAATAGCATTTGCTCATTTACATTCAGTGATCTACAGTGAGTGATATAAGTAATATAGAACTTATGATCACCATTTCATTTAATAGCTCTTTTCAGTTATCATATATACATGTATTGCACACATATAATTTTTAAATGTCATTCTACTTTCAAATAATGAATAGATTATATTATCATGTGGATAATTAATAATTATTATACTTTAGTCCATATTTTTTGCAACTTTAACAAGAAAGAGCCACGTCATGACAAAACCAACATAATGGTTTTGCGACCAGCATGGATACAGACCAGCCTGCGCATCCGCACAGTCTGATCAGGATCCATGCTGTTCACTATCAGTTACTCTATTTGTAATAGGGTTTGTAAGCGAACAGCATGGATCCTGATCAGAATGCGCGGATGCGCAGGCTGGTCTGGATCCATGCTGGTCGCAAACCCATTATTAACCAGGTTTTCAATTTTGAAAATCCTGGTTATTAGATTGGGGTATGGCGGGCGGATGGGCGGATGGGCGGCTGGGCGGATGGGCGGGCGGGCGTCAAACGAAATTGTGTCCGCTCTGTAACTCTTCAACCCTTTGAAGAATTTTGATGAAACTTCAGACAAATGTTTACCACATCAAGATGACGTGCAGAACGCATGTTCCGCATGGCTGGCTCCAAGGTCAAGGTCACAGTGACATTAACATTGAAAATCCTGTCCGCTCTGTAACTCTTCAACCCTTTGAAGAATTTTGATGAAACTTCAGACAAATGTTTACCACATCAAGATGACGTGCAGAACGCATGTTCCGCATGGCTGGCTCCAAGGTCAAGGTCACAGTGACATTAACATTGAAAATCCTGTTTACATGATTTTAACTTAATTTGGCAGTCAAAGGTCATATCATCTTTGGAGGTAATTTAAAAAAGATATGATATATTATTTCATGTCTACTTTGTAACTTGTTTTTCATTATACAGAATTATCAATATAATTAGAGTGAACAATTCTTCTGTGCTGAACTCGTCCTACATTTCTCAACGGATTTTGTTCAAACTTTCACAGAAGCTTTGTCATCAAGCACCCTGGCACATATTGTCGGGGTTTTGTGATTGGAAAGTTTTTGACCTAATTATGGCCCTTTGTTTTTTTCCTTATACATAATATTATAGTGAACACTTCTTCAGTGGCAATTCCTCCTACATTATTCATGTTTTACATTGCACATAGTTACATTGTTTGTTGCTTGTATTTGTATTTCAAATACAACATATTTATCTACAATGGTGATAATTGAAAACCTGGTTTCATGGCATTGCCATGTTTCTTGTGTTGGTTTTGTCGTGACGTGGCTCAAATTATTTACAACTGATTGTCCAACTCTTTAATTCATAGAAGTTAAGTTGTTATAGTGCTTACTACATTTTAAATAGAAATTAAATGATATATCTCTACTAAAACATCCTCATATCACAGTAACTATACAGTGTCCTTACAGCCAGCAGTATCATGCCTGGTCACACTGTGTGAATATGCAAGTTGGCCTGAGTCTATAGTGGTAGTAAAGGCTGTTAACTATTGGTTCACTTAGTAACCAGCAGTTATCTGGGTAACCAGTAGTTACCTGTACATGTATCTGTAGCTGTGAGAAAGTTATTTAAATAATCAAGTTACTTTTCCTTAGCGGTTTTGTTTATCAATAAACACGTGTATTATAAAGTTTTATGTATAATATGAGTTGTTTGGAAGATTTTGTGTAAACATGTTCAGATGTGCTCTTTGTTTAAACATGTTCAAATGTGCTGTATTTGTTTTCAAACTTTAACTTTTTTTCCAGCTTTTCCTGGAAATATTGTTATGAATATGAGTAAAAATAAAGTGTGGGGAAAACTTCATGTTATAAGTATTGTAAATGTTTTTACAAGGCTGGACACTTTGTTGTCAGCTGTTCATGATTAATTGTTTATTGTTAATCGTATTTGTTTTTAAATCATTTTTAACCAGGTTTTCAAATGGGAAAATCTGGTCATTAGATTGGTGAATGTTGGCTGGCAGAAAGTTCAGTGGACATAAACAATTTCTTCATAAAGTGCTTGATATAAATTATCAGGGCTTTTAAATTTGATCTTTTTTGCAGAGTAATGGCCCTTTTCCTACTTCCATTCTAGTATCAAAATCCCAGAAATTGAAAACTACATAGTAGGATTAGGCGACCATACAAATTCAATAGGGTAAGGGTTAAACTGATATTAAAGCTTTTAATAAGCCCCTTTTAGAGGCCACAGACCACCAATATTAGATTAGATCGCCATCAAACTTTTACAGTAGTATTTTACATAGTGTTAATTATCAGGGCTTTTCAATTGGATCTTATTTTAGCAGAGTAATGGCCCTTTTTAACATACTTAAGAATTAATTGCAAACCTGAGTTGTTTTTTTTTCGTGACCATTTCACTTGTTTAATGATATGGAGTTTTTGTATTGACCCTGTAAACCATGGTATCAAATAAGTTGTAATCTCTATTTGTGTGTTCTTTAGAAAGACAGGGAAACTGTTAAACAACATTAGTAGTTTCTTTTAACACCCTAAAAACAACAATGGTAAGGTGTTTTTATGGGTTAATTATGCTGTGGAACTTCCAGGGTCCCCTGGATACCTAACCATGGTTTGACTGGGACCCAGTGGGTTTACCCCCAGCTATATAAGTTATTATTCCTTCCTTTTTGTCCTTCCCAAGTCACACCCCTGATGTTTACTATCAACATTTAACTTTTAAACATTTACCATGGTGTCTGTGATGGGAGACCTGCAGACTGCTTCAGAGAGAGTTGTTATTGTATGACTGCGGTAAACACATGACTCTATAGCAGAATCTCTGTTAAGTTACACCAACAGACTGAAGTATTGTGGTCATCTATTTGCAGTGCTGTAAGGTGTATTTATACCATTCTAGCTGGAGCAAATGAAGAAAAAATATCCTTGACATTTAAGATGCTAATCCCTATTAAATATACATGTATTTTGACCTACTTCTTGAAATAACACTTGTCAGCTTGTAATGATAAAAAAGTTGGCATAATTGGAAACAAACTTTGAAATGTAAACATAGTAAACAAATACAGTAAATTAAAAACAAAATACCTGTCAGTGTTTTTCTTTTATTCCTTTTCTGTGACAAATTTGTAAGAAAGCAGATAAACAAATGGTTTACAAAGAGTCATTATTTTGAATTGCTGTTTAAACTATTGTTGTTTCTGTATATATACATATGTAACTATAATCAGGGACAGTATTGTATATATTGTTAGCCCCTGACTAAAATCAAAGTTTTCACAGAGAAAATAACTGTCTGTATAGTGTGTACTGTTATCATTCTGAAACTTCTTTTGTAGAAATATTTGATGTAAATTTACTTAATATATATATAAACATTGAACATAAATCTGGAAGTGTTGTTTTCTATTATAATACGCCCCGTCATTTGAGCCGCGTCATGACAAAACCAACATAGTGTGTTTGCGTCCAGCATGGATCCAGACCAGCCTGCGCATCCGCGCAGTCTGATCAGGATCCATGCTGTTCGCTTACCAACCCTTTTACAAGTAGAGAAACTGATAACGAACATGATCCTGATCAGATTGCGCGAATGCACAGGCTGGTCTGGATCCATGCTGGTCGCAAACCCATTATGTTGGTTTTGTCATGACGTGGCTCAAATACTTATTAACCCTTTACATGCTGAATTTGTATAATGAACTTGTCCTTTTAATTCGGAATATTCCATTATTAATGCTCCTTGTGGCTGAGGGTTTGCCTTTAAGGGTTGAGGCATTAGAATTGCATCCACTGTGTATCCCTCGGTAAGAGGCGACTTAATGAGTTCAAATTATTGAAGTCTATGCATCTCTAACTAAGCTCCAGCAGAAGAGCTGGTTTTGACCCATGGTGTTGCTTTGAAGTTTGAAACATGCTATCCTGTTTTTGCGCCACATGACCTGTATTGATGATGCACTGTTGAACAAAACAAACTATTATTAATGAATGGAATTTTAATACATGTATCAAAATACATGTACCCCGGTATTAAAATCAAGCAGCCCAAAGCATGGATTGGTCAGATTCTACATTGATGTGCTAGTGGCAAGTACAGTTGTTTACTGAAATTACTGGTGACACAAGCAAGTCATTGGTAATTAAATGCTAGCACTCTAATTGTTAAACATCATTTCGCTTGACCATGCTAAATATCTTAATGAACTTGCCAGTCTTTAAAGCTGGACAAAAATTTCAAAATAGGTAGTGATTGAACACTACAGACCATAAGATGGCACGGATTAATGCCAATGACTTGGTTAACTTGAGTAGAATTATTTGAAGCCAGCAGGCTTAAGGTTGTTGAATTTATTTCAGTCCAAGGAAATCTGTAGTCTGTTAAACCTAGGACAGAATAACAACAATTATGTCCCTGGTTAAACATACCTGGCATTAAAACTTAGTAATAATTAAGTTAGAGGGGTTTTAAAATAAAGAAAATGTTTTGGAAATATGAGCACACTTGCTAAATACCGTTATAAATTTTAAATCCATTTTAATGTCGGCAGAATGTATGCATTATATTATATCCATGTTACTAAAATGTCATTTTAATGCTTATCCCTTGAATAATAATTGATCCCCTTGAGGGCGCCGCCATTTTGAATTATATGTTTTGTAAATTGAGAAATTCAGCATGTTTATTGTTGATTTCCTTGTTTGACATTTTCTAGGTAATATGTAAGTTTAAAGAATAAAATATGGACGTCAAAGTTCAACTACAAAAATGTCTCGATCAATTGTCTTCGGAGGCAAGAGGTAACATATTATTATTTATACGGTGATTTTGTTCATAATACCTCTGCAGTTTAGTCCCATTCCAAGACTTTTTTTGTCATCAGGATTTTTATTTAAACTTGATGGCCAGGAGTGGACAATCGTTATGCTGTCAAGAATTATAATGTAAATAATATACATTAAAAATTGATTTTGATGTCAGAGTTAACAGAGCCTGAAAAGTTTTACCTTTTTAGGTATGTTTCCATTAAAAATACATTGTAACTGTCAAACCATTTCAGTTGGGTTTGGGAAAAGACATTGCCCGTCCATAATTATATTCAACATTTTTGCAAGCCTAATTAGTTTGACAAAGGTGAAAAGCATTTAACTTTTTATAAATTCAGCATTAAACATGTTAAAACAATGTATAAATCACATTTTATAACATGAGTATTAATTATTATAAAAATACAATATACATGTATATAGATCACATTTTTGCCCTTTCTAAAGAAAACAACACATATAGATTTTCAAAGCAAGGCCAACAGACCAATGTCATTGTCATGGACTTCAGCAAAGCATTTGATATAAGGTCGACCATCACAAGCTTCTCCTTAAATTACACAGCTCAGAGGTCATCAATTGGACAAGGTCATTTTATATGGTCGCACCCAACAGGTCGTTGTCGATGGTCAGAACTCTGACAACCTACCAGTTCTTTCTGGTGTCCCCCAAGGCTCGGTCCTCTGGGACCTTGCCTTTTCTCACATACATGTGCCTTTTCTCACATACATAAATGACCTCCCTGATAGTGTTAAGGGCAAGGTTAAGTCTATTTGCAGAATGCAGACGATACAATAGTATACCTAACAATCAAATCAACCCAAGATGCACAAACCCTCCAAAAAGATCTCAATAGTTTTGAAAACTGGGAATCTGATTGGTCCATGGAATTTAACCCTAGATAAATGTGAAAGATAATTGTGAAATCCTTAGTATCAGCTGCAAAAAACATCCAGTTGCATTGCCTTATAATTACATGGTAAACAACTAAAATCCACTGAGACTGCAAAATATTTAGGTGTAACAATTAGTAAAGAACTATCTTGGACCAATCATATAAACAACATAACAGCAAAAGGACACAATATCACTCATTCATTTTTCCCCAGAAGTATTAGTCTGTGGAATGGCTTACCGATGTCCTTACAAGCAAGTCCCAGTTTAGACCTCTTTACTGGGCAGCTGCATCCTTTTTACAAGTTCTAATTCAGCTTTGCTTTTAACTTTTTATCTCAGTTCTTTTTAAACAGGTCTGCTTTTATCTTATACCTATAAATTTGCACTAAACAAATTTGTTTTTACCAGCTATTCCCAGACAATGTGCCTACTTAGTGTAATGGATAATGATTTTGAAGTTGTAAGATGTAGATGTAAATGTAGCTATATATGCCTTTAAGCTCTCTTATTTTAATGTTTTAATAATTCATAAGAATCATAAAATATGAATTACATATATGATATCTTTTTATCTTTGTCATTTGTTTGCTTTTAGAGTTGTATATAGACAGTACTGTCACAGAAATTGATGAAGCACCAAGTCCACTGCAGTTTTACAGAGATTTTGTTGCACCAAATAAACCAGTTTTGATAAAAAATGCTATAGATCACTGGCCAGCATTGAAGAAATGGACCCCAGAATATTTAAGGTAAACCATTCTTTACCAGTTAAGTTCACATTTATAGTGGTATGTATGAAATGGAGTTTTCTTTTCTTCACAGTATTTCAAATGGTAATTCTGACAAACTCTGAATTAACTGAAATGAAATCTGTAAAGTGTGTACATAATAACTTTTACTAATGAAGTATTACCTTTGTAAGTGCACTTACTTAACTCTACAGTGTATTTTAGTGCAATTCTATTTGTCTTCTCTATTTGGTAGTGCGATGCTATCTGTCTTACCATGTTCTTCATATATCATATCTTAAACGAATGTATTATATTACAGTAGTTGATGTAAAACGCTTATCAGAGCTGATGTTTAAATATTGTTTTATGTATCCGACTTGTCAATACAATTTATTTGACTTGACTTGATTACACTAAAAAACTGTTGAATTCATTACAATCACTGTGTTTTCATATCCTTTTTAGCCATTTTAAAAATGAGCGTCAATATTATGTACATGTATTTGAATAATATGATATACAGGAAAATAAATGATATTCCAATGCAATTTCATATGGATTTAGCTATGATTTTGTTAATTTTTGTGTATGTCTCACTCACTTTCATAAAACTTTAAAATATAAGGCACTTTGATAGGATTCTTGTCATTCTCACTATACCATATGTAAACAAATTATTAAGCTGACATTTAGCCCAAATATAGCTTTATAATACAGTTATTAAGAATGGTAATTGAATCGTATATATACATCTAGATAAATTATTTTCTGTAAATATACATGTATTTTGTCTAGATTGCAGAGCTCGCTATGACACAAGTTTTTATCTAGAGATGATATAAGTTTTCTGTAATTATAACAGAGACAAAATAGGCGATCAGGAAGTGACAGTGGCAGTTACACCCAATGGTTATGCTGATGCAGTTACTGACGGCAAGTTTGTCATGCCTGAAGAGAGAATGATGAAACTGTCACAGTTTCTGGACATACTAGATAAACCAGAGTCAGCTAAAGGTGTGTTCTATGTACAGAAACAGAACTCTAACCTTACTGACGAGTTTGTCTCTGTAATGGAAGATGTGGATCCAGAAATAAAATGGGGGTCTGATGCTTTTGGTATGTAACTACTTTGTTATGTTGAGCTTGTATTAATTTTACAGGTATTCAGAAAAAGGAAAATCACACTAAATAGAATACTTTATTAGGGAAATGGGAATAAAAAGTGAGAAAAAAAATCTTGTTCTAACTAAATTCAATTAAGTTAAGCAATTTACTAATAACAAGTATGATAAAATTATATGATATCAAAACATGCATGTCAATAGTATTGTGCATTGATTTACTTTGTGAAGGGCTTAATCTAATATTGCTAGAACTTGTTGCCCAATCCTTAATTTTGTAATTTGTATTTTGATGACAATTTTAAAAATGTAAACATACATGTATATGATACATTGATAAATGCAATCATATTAAATGAATTATTTGAAAGGTAAAGCTCCAGATGCTGTCAACTTTTGGATGGGAGATAAAAGAGCTGTAACCTCTAGTAAGTTATATATTTCTTTTTGATGTGTATAAGATTTAATGAGTACACATACAGTTACATTGTTCAGATAAGTGATGTATACTGTTGTCTCTGCTGAACAATTTGACTATTGTCTCAATTGTGTAAGATTACTTTACATTGTACAACTTTGCTTGCTATGTAGAGATTACATTTTCCTATTTTCAAATATGACATTGCTTTGAGACAGTTACCTTCTGCCAGGGCAAAGCTGTAAAATAACATTTAGGCACAGGTTACTCTGCTATGTACAGATTACTGAATGTACAGATTACTATGCTATGTACAAATTACTATGATATGTACAAATTACTCTACTATGTACTGATTACTCTGCTGTGTACAGATAACAATGCTGTATAGAGATAATTGTGTTTTTATAGATTACTCTGCTGCGTACAGATTACCCTGCTATGTACAGATTACTCTGCTGTGTACAGATTATTGTGCTTGTTATAGATAACCCTGCTGTGTACAGATTACTCTGCTATATAAGATTACTCTGCTATTTACAGATTGCTCTGCTGTGTACAGATTACTCTGCTGTGTACAGATTACTCTGCTATGTACAGATTACTCTGCTGTATACAGATTACTCTGCTGTGTGCAGATTACTATGCTGTGTACAGATTATTGTGCTTGTTATAGATTACTCTGCTGTGTACAGATAACTCTGTGTACAGATAACTCTGCTATGTAAGATTACTCTGCTATTTACAGATTACTCTGTTGTGTCCAGATTTCTCTGCTGTGTACAGATTGCTCTGCTGTGTGCAAATTACTCTGCTATGTACAGATTAATCTGCTGTGTACAGATAACTCTGCTATGTACAGATTGCTCTACTGTGTACAGATTACTCTGCTGTGTACAGATTACCCTGCTGTGTACAAATTACTCTGCTGTGTACAGATTGCTCTGCTGTGTACAGATTGCTCTGCTGTGTACAGATTACTCTGCTGAGTACATATTACTCTGCTATGTACAGATCGCTCTGCTGTGTACTGATTACTCTTCTATGTACAGATTGCTCTGCTGTGTACAGATTACTTTGCTATGTACAGATTACTCTGTTGTGTACAGATTACTCTGCTATTTACATATTTCTCTGCTGTGTACATATTACTCTGCTATGTACAGATTGCTCTGCTGTGTACAGATTGCTCTGTTGTGTACAGATTACTCTGCTATGTACAGATTAATCCCCGTGTACAGATTACTCTGCCGTGTACAGATTATTCTGCTATGTACAGATTACTGTGCTGTATATAGATGACTCAAATTACTCTTTCCAGAAGCAGCAATTTCCTCATTGTGTTCTGTCATTATCTCTTTAAGTATTTATTAGTGTTTTTTTTTAGAAAAACCTTGTGCAGATATTTTATATTATGATGCAACATTATGTTATATTCTTTGGCTATTTCTGTTTTCAGTGCATAGGGATCACTATGAAAATCTATACTGTGTTGTAAGAGGTTGGAAAAAATTCTTGCTAATTCCACCAACAGATTTACCTTCTGTTCCATATGGTTAGTATGTAACATCTGTAATTGTATTACTCTCAATCATAACATTTTAATAGAGTTAAAGTGAAAATTGCTAATAAGTGACTTAATTTTTCTTATCCAGCAACTAGCCTGTATTTTATTTACTGTTAAAAATGTATGTTAATATATTTATTATTTGGATTCTTTTAACAACATTATGTTATCATAGATATACAAAAGATTATAATGAAAAGATATATTCATTAGAGATATACTGGTGCCAAATTAACATCACTGTTGATCCATATGACATTCTATAAATGTATAAAAACATAACAGTGTACTGTATAGATACTAGAGGTTGTGTAAATTAAACTCACTATTATTTGTTTTATCATAAAAATATATATGTTAACTTTCTACATGTATATGTTAAATAAAAATTTAGACTTGGGTTGGAGTTGCTGATATTTTAATGTTTATGTTTGTAATTGATATACAAGGCATGTTTGAAAAGTATTCTGAAATTTTTGAAACTTGTGTCTGTATTTTCCTTAGAGTAATTTTTTTTCTAAAGTGATAATGACTTAACATACAAATTCTATTTTTAGAATTGTTTCCGGCTGCTGTATTTCAAGAAAATGATAAAGGGCAGTTTATGATTGTAGATGACGACAAAACTGGACAGGTATGGCAAATTTTACAAAGTCCATATCTACAGCATGTAATTTTTCAATACTTTTTCATAACCATGTTGTTAAAATCACTTCAAATGATGCTGCTCCAATCACTTATACATGTACCCAGGTGCCTGTCCTTACTTGTTATAATCAAAGACATAAACATTTTTCTGCCAAATGGTGTTAAAACTCAACTGTACTTGTGTTGCTAACAATAGTTACTATCTTTTTTCTAAAGAGTTAGAATTTAGATGAGTGACTTAAAATTAGGTGCAATTACATAAGTTCATTTTCAGGGATGGCACATAATAGTTTTATGTCATATTTCAATGTCACAAATTATGTTTTAAATTATTTTCAACATATTACTTGGTATTTTCGTTTTTTAATTTTGGTTCTAGTTATGCTATGTGCACCTCAAATCTCTGGCTAATCTAAGCATATAACTAAGTATGACATACTGATAGTCTACTTGAAACTTTGTATACATATGTACAGGTACCATGGGTAGCCATTGATCCCTTAAATCCAGACTACAACAAGTTTCCTCAGTACAGAAATGCAAAACCTATAGAGGTAACAGTCCATGCTGGGCAGATGCTGTACTTACCTTCTCTTTGGTTCCACCATGTACAACAGTCACATGGTTGCATTGCCGGTAAGTTTTCGTCATTGTGGTTCCACCATGTACAACAGTCACAAGGCTGCATTGCTGGTAAGTTTACTTCACTGTAGTATGTCCATGCACAACAGTCACATGGCTGCATCGCTGGTAAGTTAACTTCACTGTGGTTCCACCATATACAACAGTCACATGGCTGCATTGATGGTAAGTTATATCCTTGTCAAAAGTTATGCATTTAAACTGTTTGTACTGTAAGCCAGTAACTAGCCATCTGGACTTATCTATCTTTCAATTTGGACAATGTCATTAATCACTGTCAGGGATTATTTCAAAATATGTAGTGACTGGAAAGCAGACAGTGTAGACCATGATCAGACAGTACTGATTTGCCAGCTGATCTTGGCATGCACTGGTTGCACATATTTGAATAAGCAACTACTAGCAGGCTCAAGGTTTATATCATTTATTACTGAATTTAAGTATTTGTATTCAATTTACTAATTTGATTGTTCCAATTTCTATTTAGGGAGGGTAAAAAGACTAAATCAGACTTTTATTATGGTTTTTTAATCAATTTTTGTCTGTTTTTCTTTTCAGTGAATTATTGGTATGACATGGAATTTGATATCAAATATAATTACTACAAGTGTATAGAAAGTCTTGTGGACATTGTGAAGTGACCAGTGGTGAATCTGTTAGTGTTGAAATGACATACAGAAAGCTGCAGTCACAAATTTGCAGGATGTAAGAACCCAGTACTTCCCAAAATGCTCTGCTGTTACTTCCCAGAATACTCTACTGATACTTCCTGCTTAAATTAGATATGCAGTGAAAATCGCCGACAGGGTCCAATGATTGAGCGCTTAAATACTATGTGAATAAAATCAGACACAATGGGAAAAAACATTGTTTCATTTGACAAGATGTAATGTTAAAATGAAATAAACACTTTGACAAATAAAATGCAAGTAGAGTAAATTTTGAGGCTTTATATTTTATTTTTGTTTAGTGTTTTATATGATAAGCATTAGTTGTGGTAACTAAGATAGCGACTAGTAAAAAGCCACTATGACTAGAAGATTAAATCACCATCAATCTTGGCCAGTGGTATCCAAGATTATCTTTTATCAAGTTTGTGCCAACGTCATATCTATCACAGCTATGTGTGTTCCCTGATGCTACTCGGACACTTCTGATCAACATTACGAATCAGAGGGAAAGTAGTAAACAAAGTTCCTAGTTTCGTCAACCTTAAAAGGGTAAAGGTCTATGCAAGCAAGATACCCTCCAACCGTCTAAAGGTTTAGTGCTGTATGAGGAAGAACAAAGGCATGTACATGTCGACTATCTTAGATACATAAAACTTATATTATATTGGATTAATGTGAAAAAAAAATCTATTTTAACCCTCAGAGAATTTGCCCTCATGAACCGCCAAATGTAATGGTCTATGCAAGATACTTGGTCAATAATTGAGGGCACTATAAATATTAAAGTAGTGGGATGGAAATATGGGTCAAACTTGTAACTATTTTACCCTTTTCAATTTTTTCCTTGAACAAAATTGACCCATCTTTCAGAAGATTACAATGAAATCTAAAATGACTTTGTACACGTTCACCATTGAGATATAGTATGACCGACCAGAAGTACATTCACATCATTTGAAAACCTATTGTCATGTGCAAATTTTATAGCGCTGACATATTACGATTATGGAAAAAATACGAGGTGTTGCAGGTTTCCTTTTTCCTCATGTATAAGATATAGAAGAAATAACTCAAACATTGATTAGCATTTTTACTTTCTTTTTATTTTTTTACAAATTATTTTACATAATTCGGTTGTAATGCAAAACACAGCATGCCAATTATGAATGGAGATAATAAACTTGGCACCTTCTACAAGATATGTGAAATGGAAACATGATTCTGTAATGAAATAATTACAAAAGAATGAATCAATATTCTAATGTAGATTAGAAAAACATGATGACAGTTTTATGTCATTACAAACAAATATATATATATAACAATACTTGTACAAAGTAAATGGCACTTTATGAATCATCTTGTTAATGTCTACAGTTTGTTTAACAGAAGACAACACCTTTTTGCTGTATATGATTGAGAATTCATTTGGGTGGGGAGGGGGTATTTTTTTTTATGGAATCCTTTATTTTCAAAAGAATCGGTCCTTGTTATGATGAGAAGTCTTGCATTTTCTGTCTACCTTTCTCTTGAAAATCACAATTTAAAAGTAGAACATAATCAAATATATTTTAAAGAAGCGTGTGAACTTATTTTTTCAGATTTACATTAATATTCATAATAATACTGTCATGTATGGTATGTTAGCATAGAATGATGTAAGACGGTATCTGGCATTTACTTTAAGACAGTAAGCAAATTTTAAATTATAATTATAATGCCAAGACAGTATTAAGTATGTAATACAATGGCTAGTATTCAAGAGAAAGAAATGCCCTATTACAGAAAAAAAAACAACATGCATCAACAATGTAACAGGTTTGAGTAGGCAGGCCAGCTGCTGATTCACATATACAAAATTAATACACAAATGTAAAATGTATTTATTGTTTATCATATCTATGCATATGTAAAGGATATTTGTTGTTCACCATATAACAAGAAGCAAGATATTAGATTTGCTTTTCTGTTTTTTTCTTCTTTTAACAAAAAATTAATTACATTATAGAATTTAAAGTGACATTATGCCCATCTGTACAGGTAAAAGTCAAAGTAACTTCATATTATGCCCATAGTTGTTGGCAATTTTATATTTTACTAAACATGTATAATAAATCACCCATGTGACTTATATCAGTCACATACAATTTATAAAAAGAGCAGGGCAGTCTTTTCATATTTTAGGAAGTTTTTATATTTTACCTTGAACATTTTTTATTATCAATTATTAGTCAATAACCATTACAATTTATTATCGTCAATCTTTTGAAATATATGGTAATTCAGTTAAACTTGCAAGCAAAAAAATGAACATAAATGATATTGTTACTTTTACTCAAATGTTTTTTTTTTAACAGTAACTATGGTACTATGACTTGAGAATATTTCAAATTGACAAGAAATAATATTTGAAACTGACTGATTAAGGCAGATGAAAATACATGTTATACATGTTTCAACATCTCATACAAAACAACATTCACAAATAATAAAAATAAGAAATTATATCTATTTACATATCTTTTTTAATGCACCATCATTTTGGAAAATATGTTCAAATGGTTATAAAAACATTGTAAAGGAATTGAATACTAAAGGGACGTCACTGAGTTTTTTTGACATGATTGGACTGGAATAATTTTTTATTAATGTTCTATTTCATGAAGGTCTAGACCAATGACTGGTGCAAGATTTCAGATCATTTGCTCACTCGTTTTTTCTATTATCAAATTATGTTCTTGCAAGACACTTAAAGCGAAAGTAACTAAAATATTTAAGGGTGAGGTAAGAATGCACAGATATGCAGGCTAACACAATTCTATTTTCGGTCCTGTTTTTGTTTTCCAACCCAAAACAGAGGATATAAATATTGTCAAGGAACGATTTCAAAAAAGCAGAAAGGGAAATTAAATGTTTATGGTTGGCAATTAAGAGAGGGTAAGAAGGGAGTTGTGCAACAACTTGTTTTTTGCCCTGGCGCCATTGGCAGGTCATATTTGCTACTACAAGATGATAGTCGAACAAGACTAAATGTCTATAAATTAAAAATTTCAAAGAAACTGCATCAACATATGAAAATATTTTGATATAAATTGCATACATGGCACAAAGAAATCACAGACTAGTTAAAGTGCATCTGTGATGTCACTGCAAAAAAAAACAACATGTAAGTAAAACTGAAGTATTTCAGAAATGGCAATATTTCTTCAAACAATACTACTTCATACTGATAATGAGGTTAAATTTTTTTTTTATCAAAGACCGCTTTGAATATTTAACTACAACCAGAAAATTAAGAAAAGAATAGCTAAGCAATACCATATGTAATAAAAAATTATGTCATGGCTCAGTTGAACTTAACTATAACGAGATATTTATTGTCAGGTCAGGTCACACATGCAGAATAAATAAACACAGTTTCAAACCATCAAATCTGACAAATATTTCAAAAATGTAATAAATATATAAATATTAATATCCATGTGGTGCTATGCATGTTTTCTGTCACAATCTAATGATGTTATCAACACATTTCAACATGTTTCTTTTTTGGGGTAAAGCTGAATTTTGTCAATCTTAATTCCATCACATTATATGTAATTTCTGTAACCACATGTGCCTTAAAGGCCAACTTGAATCACTGGACAGTATTTTGAAATACTTTTGAATAAGACTGGTACTAAATAAGGTGTACTACTTTAAACAGTTAACATTAATATGTAATTATCAAATTCAATATTCATTTACTGGATCTATGTTGACAATTCATTTAACAATATGATATTTCCACTTTTGTCAATCACTCTATTGAAAATTATCGAATGACCATGTTACAATTGCCAAAAAATCTACTTTTTAGTAACATTGTAAATAATTGCATATTTTACACAGATAGATATGTCTACAATTTTAAAATACATCATCTGACTGCTTAAAAAGTAACCCAACAAAAAACAATTTAAAGCAACTTAACAAAAAAATATAGTGAAATGAAAATAAATAATGAAAAACTTCATGCTTCAGTCACTACTTGCCACAAGTCTATATAACTGGTTAACAGTGAAAACTTAACAATTGCTGACGACTAGAAACAAGACTTAAACCGATCATAGAACCATGCTCTGAATTTTAGAACTTTGTCATTCCAGTCTTGCTGTTTCAACATGCTAACAATTTTCTAGCTAAACATCAACTGACCATAATTCGCTTAAAGATCCGGTCACTCAAATTTTTTTATGGTTTTATATCATAAATATAATGCTCAAATGGACATTTATCAATATTGTAAGTTCCAAAAGCATTATTTGTAAAGATATTACAGAAGTTACATTTCATGTAAATAAAGGGAGATAATTAAAAATTTATTTCCTATGAAGTCCAAGTCAAATTTTTCAATAAGAAATGAATGCATATAATTTAATGACTACTTCTAATGCATATAAACATTTGAAGTAAAATATTTAACATATTCTTGGCTATTTGGAAATTCTTTTAGAAGAAAAATTATATACATATATAAAATTTCACTTAAATGTTGTTACATCCTAAATTACAACATACAGGATCTGTTAATTGAATTAACTCACACTTCTGTCTTTGTTTTTTGTACGTGAAATAATTAACTTAAAATAGCTGTTTTATATAGAAAAAAATTGAATTTATAATTGAAACATAATTAAATAATGTGCACTGAAAAAAGAATTATTTCATTTAAAAATTACTTAAGACTGCAACACTGTTATTTTGATATGTTTTGCCTTCTATAGTACAAATCATAAGATTTATATTTACACGATATGAAAAAAGGGTCAAATGTAATATAAAAATTGTAGAAAAACAATCATAATCATTAATGCTACATTAGAATACTGTTAACAGCTGCATCTAAATCCGCACTGAACTCCCCAGCCGCAGTGTTACCACTGGCACTAGGTATACTACCTTCCATGCTGCTTTGTGATTGGTCCGTTTGAAAATCCATCTCTGCATGAAGATCATTTGAATCACTATACAAAGAATTTGATTGGCTGTCATGATTGTAAAACTGATCAGATTGGCTATAATTATTATACACAGGATCTTGGATCGTTTGAAGCACCTTGACTTAGACTGAGGATAGAATTTATTGCACTTTCCATTTGCGCCTTAACTTCCTGTCCGATTCTTGATCAGAATCTCCATTGACATTAAGAGCGTCTGTTTTGTTCCATTGACCTTGAGTAAGGTCATCATCATCGTCGTCATCATCATCGATCATCACTGATCTTTGATCAGTTCCATTATCAGCAGAATAATAAGAGTTTTCTTCGCTGTCTGTAAGGCTTTCTGTGATAGGCTGATACATGTCAAATTTATCTTCCGTATCGGAATCATCGTCAATATCTACACTACCATTAGAAAATGAAGCACTATGTTTTGGAATGTAAGTTTTACTGCCTGCATCTACACTTGAATGTTTAGAAGAAATATTAGAAAAGTCTTTGGTATCTTTTGATTTATCACTATTATAATACATAGACTCGCTGGCTAACTCAAAATTTCTCCTGTTTTGAAAAACATCCTCACGCTTGGACACACTCTTATTCACATTAAACACGGCATGTTCAGATTCCATATCTGTATCTTGGGATTCCTCTGCTGAGGATATGATAAGCGTCGCTCTCTCAGTCTCGTACATATTTTTAAATTTATCTCGAGAATATTCATTTGTATTCTCATCATCCTCTAATGATGAGAGATTTTCACTATGTTTAATATCAGAGATGTTCTGCTCTGTATCATAATCTGTGTTTTCACTGTCCTCAAAGTAATCGCCCTTCTCCTCCACACTTGACCTTGAACTGTCCATGCTCATTCTCTTAAAAGAACTACTGAAATTCATCCCATCAGTTTTTATCACAAGTTTTCTCATCTTAGCTGCCCTAGCTTCAGAACTACACTCATCTGGATCAACAACTTCTTCTTTTATTTCCACTTTAAGATGTGGTGTATTCTCCTCCATGCTGGTATCAGAACTTGTATCACATTCTGTCCTTGTTGCGTTATCTTGACTATCGCCAACTTTGTCTGCTTCTTCTTTACAAAGAAACTTCATTGGCATTGGTTTAAATAACTCTGAAATACATAAAAATAAATGCTTTATAACCTAAACAACCATAAATGATAAAACAAACTTTTTTTTCATTGTCACTGTAAATATTAAATAAATATCATATTGTTTTTTTTTAGGAATTTCACAGGTTTGCATTACTCTACTGTTGAGATTAGACCAAGCAAAATGCATATCATGATGAATTTTGACATTCCTTCCCCCCTCTTTCCCATTTGAGCATGAAAACAAATTCTATGTAAAACGCAGTTATTTTTATACCTGGATTGTTTTTGACCTGTAATTTCTCCTCTTCCAGAGTCTTTCGTAAATCTTGATTCTGCATCCTTTGTAACATAACCAGTTCTGAAGATGGTTGCACCCTCTGAAATAAACATCAAATGTTGAATATTCAACAAACATTATATATAAACATATCTTATTCAATCCCATTGAAATAAAACAAGACATATTGCAATAGGAATGGATGCTTCCCAATCACTTATTATGACAATTCAATTTATGCAAGAAAATGTCAATATCTAATTTTAGCATCATTAACCTTGACCTTGACAAAGGTATGAGTCAATCAAATATGAAAGACATTGGTCACTAACGAAAGTCTAACTAATCAATATCTATGAAATACTTCATTAAAATCAATTAACAGTAAAACAAACAAAAAGTGTTCCAGAACAAAATATAAAGCTAAATTTCTAAGTAGAGTTTTAAGTATTTAGCAATAACATTCTATGCCATTTGCTCCTAAGGAATATACAAACATTTTTTTTTCATACTGGTATTTTAGAAGTATTCTTTTTCGAAATACAAACAATAACTTCTCTCAGCAAGATGTATAGCTATACAAACTTCAACAATTTTGTAAATGAAGGCAGTTCAACTATGGACAACCAAAGCAATTCACCTCAGAAACAGCATTAACCATATATTATGTAAAATAATTTACATACCAAGGTTTCTTGAAAGAGTAGTTGACGGAACTTCTCAAACATCCTGTCTTTCTTTTTCAGAATATCCTCTGAAACATCTTCCATGTAATTATCAAACTTGGCAAATTCTTCCTTACTCGGCCCATAGTTCTGAAACACATGATATCGTAACAATCGCCTGCAAGCATCACCACGGGAACGGAACACACGCTTTGTATCTGGATTAGAAGCATGATTCTGGTCCTGTCTAATCTGCTGGTTGATTCTGAAGTAAAGCATGTATCATCATATATATAATACAGTAAATGAAATACCATCAGTATGAAAGATTTGTTTTGTAGACTTTCTTCTATTCATTGAAGAGAATAACAAGATCTAACAGGAATGACGGTTAATAATTTCCAAATCTGCAAACCTTACCACTTAGAGCTTGCAGAGACCTTTGAATTTTCAGTTACTGTAAGGGACAAAATTTAAGAAAATATCTTTCAAAACATTTGATAATCATTGCAGTGCCTTTGTATATAGCAATACAAGCAGCTTACATATAAATATATTATAAAGATAAGCAGTAAGAGGGCTAAACATATATGTTGACCATTATTATCATAATCAATTCTTACAAAGTTCCTTTTGGTATATCCATGTATGATCTCTTTGTTGCCCTGACAACAGGAGTATCAGTTGGTTGTGTAACAATGCTTGTGTTTGGTATGGGTATAGTCTTCAACTCTGGCTTAAATGCTGCACTTTCTGATGATGTAGATTCTGTGCTTTGACCCTGGATAATGTAATGTAAAACAATGTTTTAGTTTGTTGTTCTTGTAACAGGGTCTTTTAAATAGACTAACAGCTTGTATCATTAATAATTTGTTCATCTAGCCAACAGCTTTGATAATTGCAAGCCTGTAACAAAACATCTTCTCAAAAAACTTTAGTCTTTATATCTATTTTCTAATTCTTTTATGTCTTATTCTTTCCAGCTTCCGAGAGAACACAATTTTCATTTATGCAATAATTAAAACAAAAACACTATTAAGTGTAAGAAATAAAATATGCTTTTCAGGAAGCAAAACAATTTTCTTAAATGACTACAATATATTTATAATATTTTTACTTTCTGTTGACTTGCAGCAATAGCAGCCAACTGGCCCTGACCATTGAGAGCAGCTTGTTTTTTCTGTGCCTCAACCTGTGCTTTTATTTGTGCATTTAAGGCTTGCTGTTTCTGGATTCTCTGTAGGACATGCTGCTGGGTCTGTAAATACTGAAGTTGTTGCTCAGGAGTCATCCTGTCCAGATATGACTGGACTTTATCTTTCTGTGCTGGTGTCAGACTCAGCGTTAATACCTTGTCAGCAATCTGAAATGATAACAGATAAATTGACAGTCATTTAAATATAAAGCATAATTATGTATATTATATATTCATAACTTGTGACAACCTGCTACGAGGAACAAGAAAATAGATCCCCTAGATAACTTAGCACCAAAGCATTGATTTCCATATGCAGTTGATAGTTGTATTCATCGTGAATAAGGCATGTGTGCTCTCATAAACACCAACCAAATAAATGAAGTAAGTAAAGGGGCAAAACTCATTCCATCAATTGACAATTTTTCTTTAGTATCCAACACTTCATTTTTGTAAAAAATCTATAAACATCTTTATAAGCATAGGAAAGAACCTTTTAAGACTTAAGCACCAGCTTTTTTCTATTTAAAATTTAGATAGCTTTTTCTATTACCTTTATTTGAGTAGGAACGGCAACTTGTGGTGCATTAGATGCAGTGGTTGCTATGCTAGATTGGGTGCTATCAACACTCTGTGTTGGAGTTGTACTAAAAGAAGGCGTATTCACTGTCTGATTGGTTGACATCATAGGCTGATTGGAGTTTAATGACTGACTTGTGGATGACATCTGGATATGATTTACAGCAGTGGCATTACTAGACTGTGCTCCTAATGTGGACATAGAGTTCATGCCTTGTGATACTGAAACACAATTTAAAGTTTTTAACTACAGAAATGTTTAAAAAGAAAAAGTAAACATCACAGTTACATACAACAATTAACACAGCTCATGAGGCAACAATTGAAAAGGTAAATTTAGATACATTAACATGCTAAGTAGATCAACATTATTCATAATCTGGTGTGAAAAAAAATAATATACCAAATATTTTAACATTTTACATATCTGAATTTAGGATACAAATACTTCTTAAAATAGCATTACCATGGCCAAGGTTGGTTGTACTACTTGGTTGCACTTGAGTATCATCTTGTCTCAGCAGATTCTTAAGTCCTGCATTTGCTTCTTGACTGAACTGTCCAGTAGTTGATTGCTGATCTAGACTAGATGTTGTTGAACTAGGCTGTAATGAGGACTGTAGTTGAGCAATTGATGAACTAATACTTGCAGATACATTATCTGATGATGATGATGATAAACTAGATATTGGTCCAGTGCTTTGGGTAAGGTTTGTTAACCCTTGTTTAATCTGATTGGGTTCTGCTTTGGTAGTGGCTAAAACACGCCCTTTCAAAAGAATCTTTTTCTGGTATAATTGTAACCTCTGAAGCCTATCTTGTCTCTGCTCTGCTGTAATATTGGTAGCTGTTTGGAGTTTCCGGATTTCTAACTGTATTCGCTGGAATTGCTGCTGGAGGTCAGGTGGTAGATGGATTGTCTGTAGGGTTGCTGCACCTTGCTGACCGGTCTGCTGCGAACTCACAGCAACAGAGCTTATTGCACTAGTGTTTAAATCTTGCATACTACCAGAACTATCCGACACATAGTTGCCAAATGGTACAGACTGATTAATCGCTGCTGTAGAAGTTGTGGATGTGTTACTAGGCACGTTTTGACTATTGGACAAAACAAACATGGACATCGAAGTTGAAGCTTGTGAGACAGTTGTTGTCACTGGAGTAGATTGTGTATTACTTAATAAATCATGCACACTGGACACAGGCATTGTTAAATTTGAGCGTGGATTGTTTTCTTGTTTGATCAAAGTTTCTATTAAATTTCTTTCTGTTTTTACTACAACAGGGGACATAAATGACTTACTTGCTGAATTATTTTGATTACTGGATACTGATGATGGTAATGATGATGATGAACAACTAGTTTGAAATTCCTGCTTAATATTCATGGAATTTTTGTTTTGAATTGCTTGGATATTTGAAACTGTGGCAGTTACAGAACTAACAGCACTTGCTTGAGATTTCTTTAAACTGTCATGAATTTGTTGTAGGATTAAACGAGTCTGATTCTCAACACTATTTACAGAAGTATTCACTTGTGCTTGATTTAACTGACCTTGACTTGTGATAGCCGTCTGCTGAGAGATTAGATGACCTTGACCTTGCTGCTGAACATTAAATTGACCTTGAGGAAAAGAAGTAGCCTGACTTTGCGGAGTCTGAAAGCTAAGTTGATCCGGCTGCTGTGTCTGTAGTTGGAGTTGTTGTTGTTGCCTCTGCTGGAAATGTTGTTGTTGTTGTTGCACCTGTGGTGTCGTCTGCTGAAGTTGAAGACCCTGTACATTACCAAGTTGATTAGACAATTGCTGAAGAGTAACATTTTGACCACCTATATTGAATACAGGAAGGCCTGTCTGAGGTGTACCTTGATTTACTATTTTCAACTGACCGCCGCTCCCAGCTGCTAATGCCTAAAATTACAATAATGAATAACATAAACACTGTCTCAATGTACCAATCTTGTTCAATGAAAAGAGATGTCTTTTTTAACTGGAGGTCTTTTTTACACAAAGGATCTATCAATAAAATGGTCAAATGGGGTGGGTAAGGTGTTGCTCTTTACCGATTTTCCACCTGTGTTCATTTGTCAAATGTGATTTACTAACAATGTTGAATAATTTATATATTTTCAGTTTAATATGATTTTGTTAATGTTTACAAATCTTGAATTTAGCATTAATCAATCAACACCCTTTATAACTTTCTTTCCTAATCAAGTTCTGTACCTGTAATGTTTGTTGAGCACTTTGAACCTGTGCAGCCGGAGCTTGTCTCTGTGGTAACTGAATAATACCAGACTGTCCACCTGCTGTACGAACTATAATATTCTGTGGCTGACCACTAGAGGTCTGAGCACGTTGCACCAATATTTGTTGACCCTGATGATTTAGCACTATCTGCTGTAAACCTACAAGTAATTTCACAATAGCTAGATCAAGATTCAATATAAAACTGCATCTTACATAATCTTTCACATAGAAAAGCTTCCCTTTACAGTCCTTGATTTTATATTTGTTTGATATTGAATGTTGTTGCTGTTTTATTTATTAACTTCTTGCACACAAGTAGCAGTAAAAGTGATAATCACATGCCTATACCACTTGTGAAGCATAGCTAGTTAATTACAAAATACATTTCCACCTTACAACTTTAGCATGATGAAGTTATATAGCTTGGTAATGTTAAGTACATGTGTGTTCTTTAAAATATTCATTACTGAAATAAATCATTTTAATTCAAAGATAATTTGAATTATAGAATAAGCCTGATATTGCCTGTCAAAACTAAATTCAATGGTTAAGTATATATTCAGAGTAAATAGGGGTTACAATGGCCTTTCAAATAAGCATTTACCTTGATTAGTTCTATTGTCTACTCCAATAGCAGAATGTTGTTGAGGTTGTAAATGAAGCATATTTGACACAGAATTCTGAGCAGTTTGCTGAATCTGTGGCTGAGCAATGGGTGTGGCTACAGACAATCCCTGGATATTGATTGGCTGAGCTAAATTTTGACTAGGAATCAAAATACTTTTTCCTTCAGCAGTCTGAATCAATGTCCCTGCAAAACAACAATTTAATTTATCTCCACAGCAACAAAATCATTATCTCTTATTAGTAAAAATATTTACTTTAACAAGACTCACATCATTTTTAATTACTTCTTCATTAGTTTAAGCTACCAATAACCATCATAAGACAAAGAAAATCATTTTAATTCATTACAAGAACATTTATTATTGCATTTTTTAAATTGTTTTTATAGCAGTTGGGTATTAATAAATATCAAAAAGATTAATTCTTTTTTATAACTTGTAACACAGAAGTAATTAAATCGATATTTACCTTGAATGTTAAATGGACTAGTTGCTGTTTGAATGTTTGACAAGCCAAGACTTGCTCTCTGCTGTTGACCTGGATTATTACACAGTAAATGAGGAGCTGCTACGTTGACATTCACAACATTTGGATTTTGTATAACTGTATTCTGTGCATTAACTAACGTGCCTTGCTGAGTGTTCCCTAGCAGCGTCTGTTGACCTTGTTGAAACAATGTTGTATTCACGAGATTCTGACCTGCTCCACCTGTTCCAGTAGGTATCTGCAGAATGGTTCCTGGGGCAATCTGGAACTGCTGTTGCTGCTGCGGAGCCTGTGCCTGTTGCTGAGTCTGGACATTTGGTGGAAGATGGACAAGGTTAACATTAGGTGCTGGGCTAGATCTCATCTGAGTCATTGTCTGAGTTTGTGAGACTATAGTACCTCCATATGACAACCCAGCAGAATTTGGGGTCAGAGATCTGCTCATAACAGTAGCAGTTTGAGATGGTGAGGGACTTTGCTGGGCAAGGATTTGACTGAATGAAGAATTGGTCACAATGTTCTGTTGTGGCTGAATGACTTGTTGCTGAAATTGAGCCTGACGGTTGACAGTGATCTGATTACCGGACGGAGTTGTAACAAGGAAATGCTGATTACCTTGCTGTACAATCTGTGTTGTCACACTGAAATATAAAAACATATTTGTCAGCATTAAACCAGTTATCTCACACACTTTATGACATATTTTAAGCTGTTTATCTGCTTATATATTAATATTTTACAACTAGTTTGTGTCCAAGAATATTCAATTCACCTACTAAAGGATATTAATGTTGATTTAAAGGTAACTTGTATCAGCTTTAAAAATATTTCATTTTTCTTCTAAAACTGAAAGAATAAAGTCATTCTGAACCATTTCATATTGTATGAAGGCAGAAAAAAAGTTATAAAATGATTTTCACAAATAGAAACAAGAAATAGACACTTTTAAGGGAGTCTTACTGTAATGCTTTCCCGCCAAAAAATTCTAACACCGCCTATTAATATTGTAGCAAATCGGTAAATTCCGGAACGATATTATGCATTAGATTATTTACAGTCACTCATCATTTATCACTTTGTACTAAATTTCAGTTATAAACTGTTAAAAAATATTGATTACTGAAGACTGTGAAAAATAACGTTCCGGAAAGACCGATTTATTACGATATTGGCCGATGTAAGGAATTTTTTGGAAGGAAAGTATTACAGTAAGACTTCCTTGATATAATAAAACTATAAACTGGTGTGTAATATACATTGATCATTCACCTTATATTATTCAATTTATAATCTTGTTAACAAAATTACTAAAAATAATAGATTTAAGTTTACAAGTCACAACCATTGGAAAAATGTTATTTTATATTTAATTTCAGTAAAGCACAGATAAAAAATTCCCAATCTAATGGGTATCATATTGCTTGTTATTGAAAATAAAAGCCATTTTCTGTATATTTAATGACAATATATTACTTAAGCCAAACAATTGATGGCTTTAGTAGCAGGGTCCATTCTCTCAGTGCTGAAAGGGCAGATGGACCCTCATTTACCTTAGAATACACCCGCCTGGCTTTAGAAGAGTGAATATAGCTGGTAAAATTTTTATAATGAATAATAGTATATATAATACAAACATGCATGCTGAATATGTTAATATTACAAAGTGTACATAACATACATGTATATAAAGGGTAGAAAGTGTAAAGTACAACAAATTGCTGTATTATTAGCTTCATGTTGCAACTGCTTGCATGTTTCACTTGCAACTTGTACAGTCTTTTTTCTCTAAATAGACAATAACTGACACTAATGTATTTAGAGGTTAAACCCATAACCCTAGTATGGAGGAAGGGCAGCCTGCATGTCAGCGCAGTCTAACCAAGCTCTATACTGTTGGCTGACCAACTTACATTTTCCTAGATATCCTCGAAACTGATAATTGACAGCTCTAAAAAATAGTCCATTTAAGACTGTGACATTTAGCAGTTAAAGGGTTAGGATAATGACTGTCCTTACTGTATGACACAAGTACTCATAACTAGTGTTTTGACTACTATCAAAATACCCACATGAACACAAAATAGTCCCTCAAAAGTATAATAACTTACAAAATAAAATCAAACAATAAAGTAAAAACTAAGTTTATTAACATGCCAAAGAACCAAAATATTTCCCCTCGTTTATGCAATACCTGTAAAGATTGTTTTTGAAGAGAAAATATGCAAGCAATCTGAAAATCCAACATCATTAAGTTAAACCCATTTTTAAAAAAAGTTTTTTTTAAGAAATAAAAAAACATTCAATAAACTGAAGAAGACAAATAATTTCTTTACACCACAGTTACTATGTATATTTCTAACACTGAGTTGTTCAACAAACTGATAGCCATGGTAGGATAATTTTTTTTACTTTCAACTAATTCTGTTACTTCAACATTGCCTTGTCTATCTTGTTATTTTAACCTTCCCTTACACCTTAGTCAATTCTATAGCTTTGACATTGACTGATCAATTCTGGTATTTCATCATCTTTTTATTCATTCTGTTACTTTAAGAATTATTTAGCAATTATGTTATTTTAATATTCCCAGACAAATCCAGTTAACCTTCCAAGTACTCAAACTTCTGTTTGCTTCATGTGCCAAAAACTGTGATATTTTTTAAACCAAAAAAGCCGGAAAATGAAACTTTTTTTCTATATTTTACGCAAAAAAAATAAAGCATGATTAAAATATTCATGTGCTATTATGTCAAAATGAAATACTCATTAATCATGGCAGTTAAATTTATTCATTTGATATTTTACCCGGGTGTCTGAGAAGGATTGATGACAGTCTGTGCAACAACCGCCGGTTGCTGATGGCCGACTACAGCAGGTGACTTAGACAGAAATGGAGAGGTGGATAGTGTTATATTCTGTGTAGGTACGGATGAAGTGACAGCATAATTCTGGGCGGTTACAAGTATGTTGGATTGGTTAACATTGGTTGCTAGGTTACCCGACTCCAAAGCAACTGTATTTGACGATATATCCGCCTCATCGCCAAGAAACTCATCTGCCCAGTTAAACAAAGACTGAAATAAAGCATGAACAATATCATCAATATGTATTAATAAATATGAAAACAACCAATATTTTAAGATTTAAAAAGCTTATTACAGACTAGCAACAAAATGTAAATGTTTAATTTATTCAAAAATGCTAATACTTAAGAAAATCTCCGATAAATTTTTTATGTAGACATTTTCTTGAATACTAATCTAAGTAACCTACTCATCAAATTAAGATCTGAAATTTAATGTTCTCAAGGAAACCTTTACTTGTGCAAAATAAATTGAGGAGATAAAACTTATGCAAATCATAGTTTGAGGTGATAAAACTGTCATAAAATTAAATGCGGATCACTGGTTCAATATGGTTATAATCAAGATAAAAGGTATACATACTGCATGGTTATCATTTTGACTTCCAAAAAAATCACTTGTATCACTGAAAACAAAGAAGACAGTTATTGAATCAAATTGACAAATAAAACATTATTGACATGTTATCTTTGTTGTTTGTTCTTTCTGTTGGTAATTAGACACATTAACTTTAACATCACACAGCAGAATTATTTATGGTTGACAAAAAGAACTCTTAAGCTTCAAATATTTACTAGCATTACTTCATGTACTCAGAGTAGAACCAACTTTCAGTAGCCTAGATTAGTAGCTTTCTTACAAGAAAGAATAAATCAACAATTTGTTAACTGAATTTAAATTCCCAGTAAATGAGAGGCAAAGGATTCCATATTAGTATCACTCTGCCATATAATTTCTCTTTAAAATGTAATTATAATCCTTAACTTCAATACAAGCTTCATGCTTAATATTCATGATGTGATAAAAATGAAGTAACATAGATGTTAATCTTTTTTCTTTAAAAGATATTGTCTGACAAAAGTTATAAATGATAGCATCCACCCAAGAACTATATATAACTGGCAGAGTTCGAACAGACATGCAGTATCAAAATTCAACAGTGTACTCCAAATTCAAACTTCCATATCAGGACAAGTCCAAGCAAATTTGATGGGTAAAAATTAAAGAATCACTTACTCTATGACATCAAGTAGAGAATCACCATTATCCATTGTCTTTACAAAGTAACATCACATGAAAATTGTTTCTGTATTCTAAGTTCATAACTGAAAAGAAACCAAACAAGGAAGCATACATTAAATTGCATACACATTTCTATACATGCTTTCTAAATTTCTAGAGAAACAAGTCCGAAATTTCTGACATTTTGGTTAAACAAATAGTTTTGTTTTTGATTTTAATCCTTATTTAGATACACCTGACAAATTAATATTTCCTGATGAAATAGCTATATAAATCCTGCCAAACTTATAAGCCACATCAATTCTTATGGAAGGTTACCATAGTGGCTCAAATTAAATAATTTCAAATAGACAACTTTCAGATAGCCTGGTTATTACATAACCCTATCTCCTGCATAAAAATAACATTTTATTGCTTACTTATAGAATACATTTTAATTTTGACCAGTGCTTTGATTTTTTTTTTACATGTACTTTGTAATAAAAGCGAGGTCCTGTAATATAATCATAAACGATATAGCTTGTTTTCAAGTTTGAACGAAAAGCACTGTTATTATGGAGGGTAAAAAATTTTTTGGAAGAAAATGTATGTTTTTACCAGATTAAAGAAAAGGGAAATCCTGCAGAGTTCCTCCAAAAAAAACACTTCAAGGGAAATCCTGCAGAGTTCCTCCAAAAAAACAATTCAGTAACTATGATCACAAATTTTTGGGCCGAAGAGCCAGTATGCCAAACATTTATAATATTAATTATCAACTTATTTCAGATAAATTATCAGAAGCAAAATGGAATAATTTCACTTCCATAATAACTACACCTGCACTGACAAGTGGTTTTGGTTTGGTGCAGATATTACTATAGGTAAGTCCAAATAACATTGCCAGACTTTTAAGCAGGTATTTTATAATTTGAAATGGACTACAGGGTTGAGCCTTTAGTTCAAAATCTCAAGGAAGGTTCTGCATCCAGAGGCATGTCAGCTGCATTATAATATTATAAATCAGTGTTATAATGATGACTTTCATTGTGTACTGTTAATGCATCTTAAAATTTATTAAAAAAATGACAATTCTCATCATTACACAATATTCACTCGAAATAGTTTATTAGAAATAGAAATCAAGATAAGATGTTAAGATGTACCTCACACTGACAACGTCAAGATCAAATGGGCATTTTTAAGCTGTTACGAACGGACTCCTAAATCAAGATGCAGTATTATGAACACAAGCTGTCACAGGGGGTCGAACGTATAGCGGTGCGATACTCCTTTAAGCGAGGTGAATTCATGCGATACGCCCTAATGGCGAACGGGAGCGAAAACGAAAGTGGGTATGAGCTTCTTTTTTCCAAATATTTGTTTTCTATTGTAATTTTTTGACGAATAGCATTGTGCATGCTTGATCAAACTATATTTGTGCATGATTGTCAAAATAAAATTACTAAATTTTATAGAATTGAGGAAGTTATTGAGGTATTTGTTGCTGCAAATTCAATCGTCAAACCTGATATGCACATTGCAAACGAATTATGTTAATTCAGTTCGTTTTAAAGACGAGATATTCGAGTTAGTTTTAAGTCCAACATGTTTATTTTTGAAAACAAAAACTGATATACAGAGGAGTAGTTTTCCATATCTATCCGAAATATATAAAAATTCCATTTTTTTTTTTACTGTACGGCCTAATATTTGGTCCATATAAACCAATCTGTACGCACAAATGTTGTATGTTTTTCTGTAGCGCAACTTCCCCTATGTCCTCATTACAGGTACATTTCTTATTCAGTTTTGATGAAAAATCAAGTTTTGAAGTTTGTATGTTAATCATATGAAAACCACAGTGTCATTAAAACAACAGTGTCAAATTAATGTAGAATTATACTATATGTATAGTTAATTAAATATTCTTTTCCGCACAAAGGTTAATCATTAAAATGAGATAAGTTTATGCACAGAAATTTTGAGAATTCTATCAAGTAATCAATAGTCACGATAATATTCGTTTTGTTTTCTTCCATTTTTTTTTTACCAATGGAACTTGAAATTTATAAAAAAAAAATACTGGTTTGATTTCCTCTATATGGATTGGATGTTATATATTATATTACAGAGCACACCATTGTATATTTCAGTAATTCTGATGTTTGTCATTTGCTCTGTCGCTTTGAGAATATATAATTATGCTACTTCCATTAACCAGTGTATACCAAACAGCTTTGTGTATTTGCTTATGAAAGCATTCATACTTTTTAGTGATTTACATATCTGCCAGTAGTTTTTACTTTTAAACTGGGGCTTTCTCTGCGAAATTTTAATGTATAGCATAACCCCTAAACTTTTTTGTAAAATATTTCATTTCCACTAGGAGTTACTCTTATTGTTAAAGCAAGTGTACCAAGAGATGTGTACTGTTACAGGCCAACAGCACTTTTTAACTGTATAAAATCTGGGCAAGTGTTTTTTTATGTGAATAAAAGTATTATAGATTACAGTAATCTGTTCGGAAATAAAATAAATAACACACAAGCGTTTGGGTGAGTAACAGTAAATATATCAATCCTCCTAAAAATAACTGTTTCCCTCGGCTAACATCTTGGCTAAACAGTATTTTCCATGGGAAGATATTTTAACTGTAACCCACAAGCCCATGGTTATGTATATACTCCATAAGCACTGTGACTCAATCTAATATTATATACTCAAAAGCTTTTTTGTTTATTTGCACATGTGTCAGCATTTGTACTTGTGGTACTTTACCTATCTGGCAGTAGATTTGTTCGTTAATCAATTTGTAATGTTTTAATTGCTCTGCAACATTTACAACTGTGTATTTGCACATGTGAGCATCAGCTGTTCCTAAGAAAGACACTGAGCTGTTTGGTGTCCAATGACAGACTGAATTTTGAAATTGTAGTTTTGTGTTTTTTCCTGACAGGCCACAATTATGTGCACTACAAAAATAGCCTGTTCTAAGCAAGATTTTAGAAAAGAATTTTACCACCTAAATATTTACCACCTGTTTCTCAGTCTCTATCTCTAGAACAGCAGTGAAATGTACATTTCAAACAACCTATAAAATACATTGGTATCTTATAGGTTGTTTGAAATGTTCAATTCTATTTATAATATGAAAAAACTTATCAATTTGACAGCAGCATGTACAAACGATCTTAGAACCTCATGAAGTAAAACAGCCCTTATATCACATATTAACTGCTATTTTTCTGAAATGTTCTGCTTTGAAAGTGAGTTAATTTATACAAGATTTCTTAATTGGTTTCTTAAATTCATTCTTACATATTTTGGTCAAATTCCTACTTTTTATCTAAGATCTTAGAGTAAAGGTTTTTTTTCCAACTCCTAATATCACAGGGTAATTATTATTAATTATTCAAACACCTATATAGATGGTTATACAAAACTTTTTATTTCAAGTAAATCTTTAAGGAAAGAAGAAGATTTCAGAATTCCGGAAATGGGCAAATATATGGTAGATATTTTAGTATAATCATAGGAAAACATGTACAGCAGATGTGATAATGAAAAATATCGAACCTTTAAACAGCGTACAGTTATTTTATCGCACCAAATTCAGCGTACACTTAAATATTTTTGACCAGTAAGCCGTCTATGTATATCGGAGCACAAAGGTACTTGCTATGCAACTCAATTATGATTACTCTTATAGAATAAAGAAGAAAAAGAAATTAAACTATATTTAATATAAGCTTGCATTAAGCGATTTTATTCACCGACCCAAAATTAGTTGCCGTCGTTTACTTTCATAACATTTTTAGTTATGAATTTAGGCCTCTGTAATTTTTGATGAATGTCTGTCGGTCCTATCTTCACATCCTCAATACAAAATATGCAATTGTAATCAAAGATTTATGAAATACTTAATAAAAAACACTCACTCTGACGTGTGTTTACATAGGTAAATCCGCCATTAGGGCGTATCGCATGAAATCACCTCGCTTAAAGGAGTATCGCACCGCTATACGTTCTACCCCCTGTGTCACCAGTACTGAATCATCAATCTGACTTTACAGAAGTTAGTTCAATGGATAGTTCAATGGATAGTTTCTTTCTATGAATGTTATTCTGGACAAAACTCTAAGGTACTACTAATAATAAGAGGGATAATGCTCCTTTTCATGTGCATTAACATCTGAAGAAGCAAACGGATGCATTTAAACCCCTAGCCCAAAAGGAAAAGTGTAAAATAAGTATGAGCGTTCGCAGCTTTTAATGCACAAACCTTTTGACCCACGAAAAAACCCAAATCAGCCCGAAAAACCCAAAATTTTTAGTGTGCTATTTTCATTTTGTTTTTGGTTCTTTGGGTTCTAGTGTGTGCCTTTTGAGGGGGGGGATTGTTAATTTGGGTTTTTTTTACTTCCCCTCCTATCACTAATGCATAATGCACATGGTACGAGAATCTATCCCATAAAATGCATGAATTTTTTTTTTTAAATTCGATTTCCCCTACTTTCCATTATAAATCTAAATTGCAGTGTTTTTTGTTCACTTTTAGAGAAATAGTGGCAGAGCCCATGGAAAGGGGAAATTTGTGTTGTGGAGGGGAAATTTTGAATAAGAAATAACAAAAAGTGATCCATTTAATGTATCACAGTTCTACAACACCATTTTGTATCATAGTTTGGAGGCCTTTCTGTTGAAAATGTGTCAGGGTTAAATCGTATACATATACATGCACAGTGCGTTAACTGGAGTGTGGGTATTAGTTACCCGCACTCCAGAGCATGCCCATTGATTGGCCCATTTTTGCTGGGGTTTACATATTGTGACGGCAGAGAAAGGGAAAGCGACAGAAATATCATATTCAGATGTTCGTTCATTGGTTCATTGTTGCCGTGGTTTCATATTGTGACAACAGGGATTTTGTGACTATGATACAAAAGAGAAAGAACACCAAAACACTCGGTAATCTGATTAATACGCCCCCTCGTACAAATCAGATAACCTCGTGTTTCGGTGCTCTTTCTATTACATAATCATTAATTAATTTCATATTTTAAAACTACAAAGAAAAAGTCCCCAGACCTGAATTATTATTGTTTTATGACTGGTGGAAGGGTATTTTATTTGAAGTATAAGAAATTTATACATACATTTTTTTCTTTAAAAAAAGAAGAAGAAGAAAATACATAAATGTAGAAGGAAAACAATGATGAGATGGTGTCAGTATGTATACAAATTTTGGAAAAGGCCGCATTGATAGTTTCGAATAATTCATTTTGGGAAAAGTATAACAATTAATGCATTCATCATTTCAATTTCTACTGACTTTGTTAATTGCAATCTGTTTAAAGTGGTGACATATTTAGGTATTAATAAAATCATGGGAGGTTGGTAACTTGGTACTAATGAACAGTGATAGTGTCATTACTGGATCACATTGCTGTTGAATTAAGAAATGCTTTTCACTTGCAAGGCTATTTTTGGTATCATGAACCTTCAAATAAAATGGAATTAGTGCATGTCTGTCAACAATTTAAATGAGTGTTTGTTTAGAAAATAATGAAAATTCAATGGCTTTATTTGTTGTATAATTAATAAACAGAACTTGTATGTATTGTACTATTTTGATTTCAATCTTTTAAAGTATGGCACAATCAACATTTGAATATAACCAAGAGTAGATATTTTCATGTGGCCTATATCTAAAATATTTTCTATTTTCTTTTTTGTCCATAATTAAAATGACAATATATGCCATACACTGTTTTTAATTTTATTCAACTGAGAAATGTCATCTGATCATGTATGTGTTAAGTGTTATCATATTCTGGTAGCCATGTGTGTGTTTATACAACTTATAGTAATTTACAGTGGATCCATATTAAAAATATAATAATGATCCTCAAGAAAAAAAAAAACTCTTGCACAATAGTTGTGCTAATTAGATAATCATTTATGTAATAGGCTATTATAATTTTATATGGTGGCAAGTCGATCATCGAACATGTTTATACAGCGAAACAAGTAAAAAATTAATACACAAATTTCTTTGTTCTAATTTTAATATTTTCACACACCAATTTCGTAGGCGTGTAGAAAGTGTTTATTTCAAGCTATACATCAACATTTCGTGAGCAGAGAGTCATTATAAAAAGCAAGGTCAAAGGGTTTGTGTGAACTTGAGGCGTTTCTGGATTGTAAAATCAAATTCTCCCGGATAATATTGCTTATTTTCCAAGCTTTAATTTTCTTTTATGCGCGCGCGATCGTCCTTGAGCATTAGCGCATTCAAAAGCAAAAATTCTAACGTTCAAATTTGTCCCAGCATTTTTTGCATTAACTGTGAGAAACATGGATTATTTAAGCCAAAAATACGCCATTATTTAGCTCACACAACCCAGACCCCAGCTTTTCCTTGCAAAATTTATCAGCAAAATAATATTCACAAAACACTCACCGTCATGTAATGTGCCAACACGAAACGGGGTTTACAAGTAGATAAACAAGGAGTATTTGACCTTTGGTCATATGACGTCACAGAAAAATTTACATGTGTTTAGCAGATTTTTGGAATATTAAAGGTATATAGATGCATTTTTTATGTTGGTAATCATTTATTTCAAACAATCTTTTGTTCTGAGCTATGTAAATTTGCTGATCCATGCATAGCAATAAGGTAGTAATCATTACGATAATTGATCAAGCGTTTGACGTCATTGTTCACGTGCCTGCAGGATACTGTGTATTACATTTAAATGTTACTATATTTAGACATTGCGTAGTCTATAAACACACGACCTTGAACTGATTAGTGCACGTACTGTATGACATTTCACAGCCTGTTGCATACACAAATGCGTTTCATTGACCACTTGGCATTACTTATAAATTACATGCTGTTCTCATGTTACAATGTATTTTAGCTCTGCAGCGCATGACTGTACAGCTGACTTAGACTGCACAGTGTGCTAATAAAACTAGATACTATAGATCTATATCTGTGCAGTAGTTCAGTAGATCTACTGTATTTCTAGTATGCATAACGTAGATATAATCTAAATACCGTTTAGTAAAGCTTAACGACCGGAAAAACGTTAATAAGATTAAACTGATTAAATGATATTTTAAAGTCACTTCAAATTTCCAGCCGTAAAGTTCAAATTTCCAGTCAGTCTTAAACCTTTGTCATGCCCCCATGCATATATTCTAAAGACATAAACACATTTAACATGATGACCCTAGGCCTTGATTGGAAATAAAAGTTATTCTATTCTGTTCTACTCTATTATTCTATTCTATTCTATTCTATTCTATAGTGTCTTCAATTTTTACAGCTCTATATGAATGAGATCCTGTATGTTGTGATCAAAGTGGTTTACCACACGTCAATTTTATTGGACTACCCGACCGACAGCGTACAGAACTTTGTCACTTTTGTACATGTTCAAAACTTGTGAAACACTTTGATATTTCTTACAGTTACCTCCCCTTGCATTAGAAACTCCATTTGCACTAGAGAACTTGTACTGGTCTGGGACTATCAACCGGACAACATTTGTCCATGCAGATTTCATGATTTTTAAGCTAGAGATCTGAAAATTTGACTCAGTACAGCTACTTGTTTATTTACTTCTGATTATGTTGACATTTATATCTGAGGCCCATCAAACTCGAAGAGATTATCAAAATTACCTTAATTGTCCACACTGCAGTACCATGTGTACGGACAGATATGTACGATAATCAAGCTTTTATCTGAATTAAATCAGAATCATGTACATATCCAATATGTACATGATGCTGATTTAATTCAGATAAAAGCTTGGGTGTTTTAATTTTTCATTTTCAACATGATAAACCAATTATATTTCAGCCACAGACACTTGGGGTTTGGAGCTCAAAACGCCTTTAAATATGAATTTTTTTCAAAACGACTTATATTAAGTTTTTTTTGATATATATGATCAATACATGTGCTGGGATTGACAAATATGCATTTTATTTGGATTTTAAAGGCGTTTTGAGCTCCAAACCCCAAGTGTCTGTGATTTCAGCAGCAAATGCTGTAGTTTTGAATATTCTATCGTTTACTCAACAAATGATTTGGCATGCGAGCAGTTCCTGTACAAAAATCATAGTTTCTTAAAAATTAATTTTTATTACACTCACTCACCAAAAAATTGAATGTTACACATCAATAATCTGCTGGTCACCCAAATTATGGAAATTTCATTATGTTCTAAACAAAGAATAACCCTAGTTATGAGGCCTCATATAGGGTACTGAAATTATCCATTATTTTGTATGAAGAGAAGTAGTTCCCATACATAAAATATAACCAATTATAATTATACAAATTTGTTATATCAGACCTATTTTTCATTTAAAACTGTCGAAGAGACCATTTTTCCAGAGGCAGGTAGATGTAATTAATGATATAGAGCGTAGATTAAACACTGGTATCTATTAGCTGGTATCCATACCCCAATGCAATCACAGGCAATGGCGTGCTTGTTTGCATTAAAGCCATAAAATTATTAATATGATAATATAGGTCAAAATTCTGATAATTAAACAGGTTTTCATCGCATTGCTTACTTATCTGTAAGCAGGTGGTATTAGTGGCCTAAGTATTTTTGTGCATGCAGGCATGGACGGAATCCCCCAAAGGTAACAAGGTTACGTTTTCTTAACGCACAGGTGATAGGTATTAAAATGAAAACTTTCTATATGTACTGCCAAACTGACACTTATATTTTCTCTCGTTTATTTATCTGCTTGATTTTATATCAATTTTTGAAGAATGCAAGTAAAAATCAAGCACTTAAACGAAAAATACAGATACTGCTTCTGTACGGGAACTGCTCGCATGCCAGTATGGGTAGTAAAAGAAGTCAGGAATTGCACTCTAACATCAAGATTTTCAATGTCTGGATTCTTGAAACAAACATTTAAATATTACCATTTACAACATTTAAAATAAAGTTGATTACTTAATAATAGAAGAATGATGAATTTATTTTTGGTATAAATCTATCTATCTTCCATTAATGTCAAACCATTTGTGGGGAGGTAGACATGACTCTAGACAAGTCACTTCAGAGACAGCTATGAGATACAAGGGAATCTGGGGACCAGTCCTAGTGAGTCCCTAGCTGTTATTGAATAGACCCCTTTGTTCTTTTACATGTCCAGTGTATAGTACTGATACATGCAAGGATAACCTGGATTTCTTACCAGTACATCTCTGGTTAGGTGAGAAACACTGAAAGTGTCTCTGAAAAATCCCAAGGGTGTCACCCAGGATCAAACCCTGGACCTCAGGAGTGACAGCAAGTGGTCTAACCAACTGAGCTATCGCGCCACCAGAGCTATCACGCCACCTAAAATATACTGATCAACAACCACTGAACAAAGAAAAAAACTGAATCAGGCATTTTCTGGGCCATCCGTGTTTGGTGGTTGTCCGGCTTTGGGGGTCCCCAACCAGTATAATGAATGTCAGTTTAACCTGGGATAATATCAACAACCACTTACTTGGATGTCTTAGTTTGAAATTTTGAAAGAACGAACAAACAAACTTAAAACATAAATTGAAAAAGAACTGATAATTGTATTCTTTGCAAGCATTTCAGTGCAGAAATGCTTAAGAAAGCAGCAATTTAGAGAATTTAGTAAAAAGGAAATTTTTTTCTTTGATGGGATTTGTGTGACTTGTTGGACCCTTTACCTCATATATACGCAAAACAACGCACTTTCGACCCCCCCCCCCCCTCTTTTAGGTCTCAAATAGTGAAAAAATGTTCTATTTGGGCCCCAAACACATGTTGCTTAAAAAAGTGAGCACTTTTTCGGTGCCGCTCCCCATCCAAAAGATACATCAGGGTGTTGCCAGAAGGGGGATGTGCCCCCTTCTGTTTGGGGGGTTTGAAGGGGGGCGGTAGTCCCCCTCATTGCCAAGAAAATTTTGGACTTGTGAGAGGCTAAAAATGACCCCAGGTGGATCATAAAGTATCGTGTAACCAACGCTGAAAAGCCTTTGACTCTATCTCAACCCCTTGAGAAGTTGCAGCACTTTGAAATAAATTTTGATTGACAAAATCAAGGCAAAATAGTGATTTTTGGCAATTTTGAGACCTCCCCTCGTTGCCATGGTAACAGGAAATTTAAGACTGAGCATGTCGTTTAAAGGCAATGGTCCAGTCAACATTTGTCCCAAGTTTGATTAGTATTGAAGCATTTTTTATAGTTTCAAAGCAGTTTGAACTTGTAACAGGAGGCTTTTCAATGAAAACGGCCATTTTTCACAATATGCTCATGAGGGAAAGGGTTAAAGATATATTAGGCTTAAATTTGATGTTAGAAAATATTGATAATTGCTACACAGTCTCTTTGTAAACATAAAATAAACATGTTTCACTTCATAACAAAGTAGATATGTTATGTTTAAAATTCTACACACTATAGGTGGTCACTATAATTATGAACATATAGTGTCATTAAAAAAAACTGACATAATATTTATATCTCTGACTTTTAATGTTGATTTTAGATAGGTTGATCTGAAGACTGACCAGGAAAATGTTATCCAATGAAGATCCATACAGTCAGGTGTGCATTGTGTCCATGAAAACCTTGGATGGAAAAACTGAGGGAACTGCCAGTGCAATATTGATTGACTCTAAACAGGGCCTTGTTTTAACACATGCATCAGTTTTATACCCTTTAATTGAGGATTGTGATCCAGAGAGACTAGGGAAAGTGTTGAATTCAGGCAGTGGTGATAAAAGAATATTTTCTAGTTCAGTTAATATTGAGGTAACTTTACCCAATGGTGAAAACGGCCCTGAGGACTCGTACTTTACAAATGACAATACAATTCACCCAGTCAAATTGCTTAGTAACACTGTTCAAGATGTTAAACCTTTCATTAAGTGTAAAGGTAAATTTAAGACTATATTCGAATGCCGTAGACTTACAAGAGTCCTAAATAATCTTATGCCAAGTGACTCATGGCAGTTTGTTGAAGAAACAGCAGCTACAGAAAACAAACAGAATCAAGATAATAAAACTCAAACCAAAGCTCAAATGTGTTACAAGCTACTGTCATTCTTTGTGCTTATCAAATTACAGAATATGTATCCAATAGATAATGTTTTAATGATAAGGGACTCTATTGATAATAAGGTAGGAGATCTTGTGGAGATTTGTGCAACACCATTTGGGAGTATGAGTCCTGAAGTATTCTTAAATGCCAAGAGTAGAGGTATCTTAAGCAACGTGGCAGGGCCTCAAGGTATCTTATTATTGACAGATGCAAGGTGTGTTCCTGGAAGTGAGGGAGGGGCATTGTTTTACTGCCATAAAAGGAAAAGGTATTTTCTTAACTTACTATTTATTCCATATACAATTTAGGTATTTTCTTGACTGTTTATTTCATATAAAATGTATTTCATTAACCGTTATTCTATATACAATGTAGATAATTTCTAAACTGTTAATTCCTTATATACAGTAAAGCATTGCTCTCTCATTCTCTGTTTTTGGGGGAACAGTACCTATTCCTGTAGAAGCTGGAGATTATAAAGAATTTCTCTAAGCTCAAACTCAGATCTCAGGTATTTGATTGGTCAGAAACTGCCATTAAATGTTCACTGACCAATGAAAAATCTGAGATTTGAGATGGAACTCAGAAAAAAAGTTTTATTCCTATGTAGGAGGATTTTGGACACTTTGTGCTGCACATAAATACAATAATGACAAATTCTCAATATTCATGTTGTTCATTAATAAATATCTTATTTTGTTAAAATAGGATATTGTTAAGGGATTTCTGCTCCAGGTAAATTAAAAAAAACAAAGGAGTTTTCTTTAAAAATGGAGGAGAATATAATCCTTTTAAGGAGGAAATGGTGCCAAAATTAGGCACCAAAATTGATGAATTGAAAGCCCTGTGTAGGTATTCTTCTTAACTGTTTATGCCACATACAATTTAGGCATTTTCTTAAGTGTTTTTCCAGTCATGTACACAATAGGTGTTTTTTAATTGTTTATTCCATAATACATGTACAAAGTAATTGCAACTTTTCAGTTACTAGGCATGGAGCTTGAATAAAAGAATGTGTAAATTTTAAAAACATAATATTTGTCATTATAGGTTATTAGCAGGCATCATGATAGCATCATTGTGTTGGAAGAACAATGAGTGGGTCGGATTGTCCTTAGCATGTGCAATAAGTGAAGTACTTGGTTGCTTAAAAACACATTTAACACACAACATTGACAGTGTTAAACAGACAGACTATGTGGGTGGATTTGGTAAGTTATGAGCTCAAAAGATTTCAAATAAAAAGTTGGGCAATTAATATATTAATATTGAGGGTTGATGCAAAAGGGATGTAACTTACATTAAATAAAGAATGAGTCGCGACCCTTTCACACAAAGCTGTCGTTATGATTTCAGTGTGGGTGTTGTTGTTGTCATGCAGAAGCTTGATGAACCCCATTTTTGAAACATTTTGATATGTATCAACACAACAATTGTAATACTTGCTTATCATGACAAAGTACATTTGAAAGACATTAGGCATTATTCTGAAAGGCATTTTTTCGAGTTATGCCCCTTTTGTGTCAAAATTTGTAATTGATTGTCATTAATTTTAACAAACAAGCATCTACACTGCTTGGGATGCTCTCTTTAAGCTGTAGTTTGAGTACCGGTATGTGTATGTTTGTGGATTTGATATGCTATTTTAAGAAATCAGGTATGAATAATATCCGTACCGTAGGCATGCTATTTGGCAAGTTCTTTCATGCATACAAGTTTTTAAAGACTGAAGAGTTTGCTTTTTTGTTTCAAGGGCATTGATTTTCGTTATGCACAGTCCTAAATGAAATATTTTAGTGAAATCTATTGATAATAGATTCATTTGTAAATGTTTTTACATCTTATACTGAATTAAACAATTATTTTTTTCTGTGATTAAAAGAGTACTGAATTAAATGATTACGGTACTTCTCTTTCAGATTCAGGATTTATACCTGAGTTACTACAGAAGGTCAGGTGTGTTAATGTTGGACATAACTGGGGATCTGGTGTTGTCATAGACTCTATGAAAGGGCTCATTTTAACATGTAGCCATGTTTTAAATGATGTCAAATTCTCGGGAGGTAAGACTACCTCTTTAACTTTGTTGTTGTTGATAGGTTTGTTTATACTCAGCGCTGGAATAACCATATGTCCGAGATTTATCAGCATCCATGCAGGTCCTCTGTAGAAGTCTCATCGGGGTAGTCTTTTCAAGCCGAATCTTCCATAGCCTATTCTTCGTTCGTTGGTGGTTGAAGAAGATGACAATACTATCCAAGGCATCAGCTTTCCAACGGCATCTCTAACAAAAACGACCCTTGTTAGCCCCACCCTCCAGAGTTAGTTATGACAGGTCAACCAATCATCTATGGTACTTGAGATGACTTGACCTTAACCTGCCATGTGCCTGCTCCGCGACGTGCAGGCCTCTGGAGGGATTTGGAGAAGTACCACTTGAACCCTTACAATGCTTTAATATCTTCATTGGACTCGTCCATCTTTTAATCTGGACAAAACCATTCATTTATTTTAGGGAAAATCTCAAAATGTTTATTCATTGAATTCAGTGCAGACTATCAGATGGCATGGATGTGCTGACTAATCTTGGTTTGTACTTGCTTATATTCAGCATGCTTAGTGTCAAGGAAAGGCTTAGTCTCAATAGATTGCAATGTGGTGACTGCATGACAAAGTACAACACCAAGATTGAGTTCAACAAGCATCAAACATCTGTTTTTGCATAACTAAAAGCTACATGTGCAACCAGTTTTATAAATTAACATAATTAGAAATGTTGAAAAATATTTAATGATTTAGACCGAAATGCATGTATAATTGTGTAAGGTTTTCTATTTCAGTTTCTGTGAATGATTCTGAATCAAGCCCTGCTCAGATGTGTAATGTTATTTATAGAACCCCACTGAAGTCACATTTTGATATTGCCTTAATCCAGCAGAAAACTTGTACAACAACCGGTGATGAAGAATATCCCATTAAATTTGGAAGAGCAGTTGAAGGTAAGCTTTACATTGTTTTAAGGCAACTTTTTTAATGATTCATATTGAAGGGCATAAAGCTATAGATTCTATTCAAACAAATTTTTTTATGAAATTTATGAATAGTAAAAAAAGTTATGTTGTTTCCATTATAATTATGGTCAATTCTCAAAGCAGTGTAATTTTGAATTTCACTGTTATTTAACACACATGAATATTGTACCTAAACAGAATAAATTGTTCTTGAATAAAATACAATGTATTATGCTGCTATTTCAAGTAGGGTTTTACCCGTTTACCAAATATTCTGTGCCAAACTCCACAGTGATTACCTCCCTTTGCAGATTGTAATCACTGCCTTCGCAGACGTCACATGTTGATGAAAGTCACATGACGTAATGTCAAAATTCAAATTTAAATAGCGAACGTTACATAGAAAATCTAACGTACTTTTTGTACCTACATTCGTTATAGTTTATCAAAAAAATATCAAAAGTATAAAAAACAATGAAAAATAAATTCAAAAGCTAAAAATATAAAATATCAAAATATTGATAAAAATGTGTGTGATGGCAGAGATCTCTGTACTGATAAGGGGAGATCACTGCATAGGAGATTGATTCTGTGCATGTGCCATTCTCACATATACATGTATACATATTTCTTTCATACATGTATTTACTTTCTGACCTGAAAGTGGCTTAAAAATCATTTAAGACTGCTCTATCTGAAAGGAGAATAATTTTATATCTGATTTATAATTTGTTGCAGGTGAAGTGATGTATGTAATAGGCCATGCTATATTTAGAGGAAAAGGTGACACATTACCTATGGTTTGTAGAGGAATTGTTTCAAAGATTGTGCGGCACAATAACGTCCCGGTCATGTTACAGGTAACAAGAATTATCAGCTTGATTTGTGAAGATTTATAATATCTGTCACATGTTGCGGGTTCCCGAGGGACGAATGTTTCGATCCCAACCACAAACATATGTCAAATATGTGTTTTTGCATATTCTACCATTTTCTATCATGTTTTAATAAAACAATTCCATGGAAATTTATGCCATTACATCCATAACTATTTTCTTACAATAGCATATGAAATTACAACTTCATAACTCTAAACTACGTCATCCTAAGCATGCCATTGTATAGCATGCAACTCATGTGGTACCCCCGATGCCAGATGAAATTTCTGGAATGGGTTAAACTAACTGAAATGCCAGTCTGATATGCAAGAAATACATTAGAAACATCACATAAATGTACATCATTGTTCCTTGGCATTAACAGTTGAATAACTGCCCCTTTTTCTACTTTGCTTCTAACAAACTGTCCAGCGTTGAGAAAAGCTAAGGGTCTTGTTGAGTTTATGAAACAACTAATTTTTTTCTTCATGCTTTTATATATTTGATGACTCATTTATAGACAACATGTGCAGTGCATGCAGGAGCAAGTGGTGGAGGTGTGTTTAATACAAGAGGACAACTTGTTGCTTTAGTGGTCTGTAATTCAAAGTAAGTTGTACACCAGCATAAAACATAATTTCATGTACATCATGAAATCATTGTACATGTATTATGTCTTGTTGTTTGTTTGTAATTGGTTACTGTGAATTCACTTTATTTTGTGAGCAGGTAAGTTCATTGTTTTGTCAAACAGGACATTTTTGTGGGTTCTTAAATTCATAAACTGTCTGATTTTGTAAAAAAAGTAAAATGAAGGTACATGTAATGTAATGCAAAATAATCCTACAGCAGTAGAATTAAAACTTTTTAAGTTTTTGGATTGACCTATCCACAAAATGAGTACCATAGGAATAGTAATGATTTTAGATAAAAAATTTCCTCAGTGAGTTTGTGCCTATGGCTAAAGGTGATCAGCATTATTTTTCTTCATAAGTACTAAATAATCAAGAAAAAACCTGAAATAATTAAGGATTGATATCCTACTATATAGGGATTGTCATTTATGGCTACTTTCCATAGTTTTCAACTGTTTAGTTCTGTGGGTATAGCTGTCTGTCTCTAAATGGAAAGTGCATATTCTCCTCATTCACCATCACAAATTAATTTTGGAGGAATTGATATTTACTTTTGGGAATATATGTTAGAAGTTGTACAGAATCCGAAAAAGGTTAATGCTAGCCACTGTACAACTATACCTGAAATGTCTAAAATAATTGTTTTATAGTTTACAAATTATGGTTTTTATCAGTTTAACCAATTAGGGTTTAATCTGTATTACCAATCAAGGTTTTATCTGTTCAAGTTTGTTCATGTTTTATACAATAACAATGTCAACTTCCACAGTAAGTGAAAAAAAAGCTATGATCAGAATCAGCAGACTGTCTATAGCATGTTTTCATGTTTGCTCCAGACAAGAAAAAAACAACAGCAATGCCCTGAATTACCATGTTGTGCCATGGCTTTTTCTCTTTATGTTGCGTATATATAAGTAAATAATATGTTAAGAAGCTTCATTGAATTGCTTTTGATTTCTATTTTGCCAACAGCACTTTATTTCTGTGATCTTAGTGAAAGCATGTTTAAAGAATGAAATTTTCTATGAATTTATTATTATTATTATTTTCAGGGACACAGTATCTGGGGCATATTATCCACATGTTAACATGTGTGTACCCATAGAAACAGTGGCTTCAATTATCAAGTATTTCATTAAGACTAATGGTAATATTTTATTTTTAGATTTATAATAACATTCTTACTGAAAGCAATCACTTTGATACATTATGAAGCCATACTTGGCTAATTAGCTCACATTGTTGACTTTAACCCAAATGTGAAAAAAGGGATCCTTTAATAGATGATGTTAGGATTGCAGGTTGCAGGTGAGGGTGGCTATATGTGAAAAAGGAAACCTTGTTTAAACCTTGGAGAGGTAAGGGTAAAAGTCAGTCTAAATGTGGAAAAGATAACCGTGGAGAGATGAGTATGACTAAATGTGTGGGGGGGGGGGGGGAATCATGGAAGTGTGGGGATATTTCAAGTTGAAAACCAGTATCCATTATGGGGCTTGGATTTTGTAAGCAAGAAGATAATGCACATGTATAACTAAATGAATGTTGTATGCCTTACAGCAATATCTTAACCAATTACTGCATGAGCATTTTGTGAAAAATGGCTGTTTTCATTGAAAATCCTCATGTTACAAGTTTAAATTGCTATGAAACTATAAGTACCGGTATAACAGATGCTTCAATATTCATCAAACTTGGCACAACTGTTGACTAGACCATAGCCTTTGTAACGGCATGCTCAATCTTAAATTTCCTGTTATCATGGCAACAAGGGGACATCTCAAAATTGCCATAAAATTATGCGTTTATTTTTTTCCATCCAGACTGATTTCAAAAGTGCTGCCACTTTTCAATGGATTGAGATAGAGTCAAAGGCTTTTTAATTTTCAATCTAATTCTGAGCATATTGCTTTATTATCCTTTGCAAATATTTTAAATGCTTCACTTTATCTTTGTAATAATTTTAAACTTTATGTTTTTAGACTTTTTGAACTCCGTTGAGTTTCTTTAAGCATTTCAATGAAAAACATTAGATAAAATTTGTTATTCAGATGCTGATATACTGAGGTCACTACATGTGAAGAATAATTCTATAAATAGAATATGGAGTATTGGAACTGAAGGTTAGTATATTTTATCTGAGTGCTATAATTTATCTAGATATAAAATTCTATTTGCTGGGTGTTAAGTATCAGTTTTAACCTTTAACACTGCCAAATTTGTGTAATGGCTTTGCCGAGCTTTGAATTTGGAAAGTCTTTTTCAATTTAGAGATTTGAATATCAAAATATAAAAATTATGCTACCAGCAACAGGATAGAGCTTTGTCAATGTTAAGGAATGAACAATATTTTAGTCATATTTGATTGAACACAAGTTGTATGGTCGTATGGCCTGTTGTTAGGAACCTTTTGCCAAGATAGTTTTGAATGTTACTGAATGTCGAGTAATAAAATCTTTCTTGGGAAGAAATGATCTAAAATGCAAACAGAGAAATAGAGGTTTTTTATACAGGTGAAAACTGGAGCTTAGGATAATTCATTTTGGATCTTGGGGACTAGGTTTTCATCTTAAGTTAGCCTAAAGTTTATCTTTTTATGGCATTTTTTATGGTTTGCATGATTTGCCTTTACTTCATGCCATTCAGTAAATATTTCTTGGTTTTTTTTGTTGTTTTAAATTTACTATAAACATGTAAAATATGTGCAATATAATATTTAGTGTCATTCAGTAAAAGAAAAGAAACATATTGCTTTATACATGTAAATGTACATTCTAGTGTATGTAGGAATTGAATTTACATGAAACAAGTTATACCAAACTGCTTTTTCCATAAATATCTTGACCATGGATTTGTTGATTTCTCTTTCACAGATTGCAAAGTATATAGTCCAATTTGAACGGAGCTGAGTGTGTGGCAGTCTGGCAGATAAGTTATACATGTATGTGCAATAATAATTGATGCGCTACTTAGAGCACATATTCATGAACACTTGAAGTGGAAAACCATATTTTATATACTGTGTTCACTTTACTTTAAAATACACATTGCTTTTACACTTTGCTCAAATGGAAATTTTGTGCTTGTTTATAATTTTGCAAAATATTTAATTGCTGATTGATTGTTTAACTGGTTGTTGAGTTGGAGCCCAGATAGGTCTGTCTTTCACAGATTTTTAATTTTTGTGAGGTTTGTTCACCCTGGAAGGAACTAGATAATACTGGTATTAGAAATGTGATACAGTGTGTATTTCACTCTAAAATTTTATATTATTCCAAGAAATTACTTTTCAATATTATTGTTTTCATTGTTGGATGGATAATATTTATTGATTTATGTTATTGAATCAGAGTTGTTCACTGTTATTTATTATATGTGTAATGATGTATACCTCGCCTACATTTCTTGTATTATATTCACAAGATTTTTTTTAAGAAATCTTCCATTTCTTCTTCCAACTTCCTGTATTTGTGTGATTAAAACAAAATCATTGAGAGATTTTCTTTGTTATTTGGCTAATCACAGTGATGACAATGAAAACATTGCCGTCTGCATAGATTCCTGATCATGTTTGTCAAATGAACTTTAGCTGTTATTATATTTACTAGATACACTTTATAAAGTATTAATGTTAATGTAACAAATTCGTGTGTATGTTTTTTAATTATTTCACATGATGTTCTGTCAGTGATAATGTGATGTTTCTTATATTAAAACAACGATTACTGTAACCTTTTAGTTGTTGCAATGTTTTAATTCACGCTCACGGTCAGAAGCCAGCAGTAGTTTCATTCCCTCATTGCTTCGTAAGTTGCTTTGTATCCAGGAACGGACCGTGGCCGAGTGGTTAAGGTTGTTGACTTCAAACCACTTGCCCCTCACTGATGTGGGTTTGAATCCAGACAGGGACTATGGATTATTTCATGTGAGGAAGCTATTGAGCTAGCTTACGGAACGTCAGTGGTTCTACTCAGGTGCACGTTCGTGCCTGAAATACAGTTACAGTTCGGATTCTAGATTTTTTTTAAAGATTTAAAATTTATAATTAATACACCATGCAAATTGTGCAGACTGTGCAGACTGAATTATTATATGTACACTGTATATTGCAGTTTACCATAAAATTTGATAATTTAAACATTAGTGTTTTTCATCCACGGTAACTTTTAGTTAATGTCGCCTTGTCTTGTTGATCTTTTTTATATTCTATTGACTATTTTATTTTCTCTTTTTAAAATTGTTTTTCCGGAGTCATGACCACGTTAACTTTCCTGTGTTCTTTATTTTATACCATATGGGTTTCTTCAAAGAAATATCTAAATTTATGTAAAATCTAGTTAAAATATTATGGATTTTCCAATATTAATGTGAAATAAAAAAGATGTGAGTTAATTTATTTTTTATTCTATTTTCCGAAGACATCTTTAGAACTCATTATTAATAGAATAGAGTATGACCGTAAAGGCATATTTGCTCCAAACGAACGATATTTTAGACATTTTTATAGGGTATAAGATTTGTATATTCTGCCTCTTTCTTATACTTAGAGCGCCTCTTTCTTATACTTAGAGCGCATGTATAAAGTCCCTTTATAAGCTATTGACATTAAAAGAAAACAAAAACAATTGAAATATTTTGTTTGTTTTTTTTATTCTGAAAAAGTTATTTCATAAAAATTAATGTGCTGAGCATGTATACATGTAAACAGTGATCGCCAGTCTTGACGTTACAGTTACGTCGTACGACAGCCCTTACCCTGTCGTAGAGCTGCGACATTTTTTACGACGTCGTACGCTACGACAAACGTAAATAAAACGGTCTTAACGTTCTGCGACATGTCTACGACAAAAAACTAGCCTACGACGTGTCGTAGAGCGTTGATAAAACGGCCCCCTGAGGTCTTCCTCCACCAGTAAAGCTGGAACGTCGTCAAATGACCTATACTGTGTCGGTGTGACGTAAAACCCAATCAAACAAACAAAATCCAGGAACGGATTCAAAAGTGTTTCAATAAGCCAGGGTCTGAATAAGCTTACAGCTTCTAACACAATCAAACTGAGGTATTTTATTAAGAATAAAAAAATAATTTAAATATCTTTATTATGTAACGTAAAAAGTTTAATTTAAAAAAAATCATGAATACAGTAGAATTAGTTTCCACTGAATTTGACACGGTCATTTGTCTATTGTCTCTGGTGGCAGATTGGTTGATGTCGTTTCCCATGGCAACAGTTGGTAGACTCTCAGTTACAGCAATGTCGGCTATTTCTGAAATTATAATAATTCTAAGAAATGACTGCACAATATCAATATGTTTTTCATAGCTTGTTAATGTTACTTATTTTTTGGTCTGCTTTTATCGCACTTTGTTCAGAAGATAGAAGATGATTACGAAAGCGTTAGCGTTCTTGGATATTACCGTTTATTACGGTCATTCTACTGGTCTGAAATGAACGCGTTATTAGAATCATTTGCCGCTAGCAGGCTAAGGGTTGAAATTAAAACAAAGGTTGATACGAATGCATTGACTTACGGCTAATCACACTCGATGATAATGAAACATTCTGCGTCCATTCTGATCACCATCATATACGTATGTGTTGCTAGTCAATTGTACCACGGATTTATATTAGTAATATAAATCCGTGATTGTACTTCAGCTGTGTGTTGACTGCTGCTTGAAAAACTTTTGCCACGTATTCACAAACTTTATGATGTATCAAATGAATATCATGAAAAATAAAATTTCAAAAAAAAATTCCCGCGTAAAAAAAGTTTTATTTAAATTCCTTTTTTTATTTAAATTCCTGTTTCAATTTTGATGAAAGAACGCTTTTATGGAAAAAGACAATACTTCTAAACCTATAAATTAACAGGTACTGTATGGTAAATTTTCTTTAAACCAGGTACGTATATTAATATATAAACATAGGCCTACCTTGTTCGTCGAAGTCTTAGTCAGTCGCAATTTCATTAGATACATGGTTTTCTATAAAGATGAAAAGTCATGTTTTCATACAAAATCATAAAACAATTTAATGAACTTTTTAAGGCTATAGTTTCTAGATAATTTTTTTGAGTATTTCATTGGTCAGTATGAAATGAGTTAAAAAGAGATAGAACTCTTTCTTATATTAATTTTGTCACCTTGAAGATTAATTCATTTTCACTGGAAATATGATAATGGACTTTGTCCATTTTTCAACCTGGACAAAAAACATTCATCATTCTCAAGGAAAATCCCCCAAAATGAACGGACAGAATAGCGAACAAAGCAGACCATGATCAGAAGACACGGTCTGCACTTGTCACATGGGTATATTCAACTGCTGCCAGCAAGATAAAGGTTTAAATACTATCACTCTCATCAGGGGCTATATTGCTTAATAACATTTTAAATTGACGATTTATTGGCTACTATGCTGATGCTTTATAACAAGAAAAAAATAATAAAACTATTCAAAATAATGAGACAGTAAAAAAACCCTTTAAAGTCGTCTTTAGTGGCTGATATATCCGACATAACAATGATGTTTTTGGACCACACCATATCCCTAGCACCAGTTTAAATTAAGACTCCGTAAAAATGGTATTACACGGCCGTTTGTATTAAACCTTCACGATGGTATATCTTGAACTTTCGTACTGAACTTGGCATAGGCACTGTTGCCAATCTGCATGCGAAGTTCATGTTATCCGTCTAATGTCAGTAAACTCGAGCCAGAACTCACGGAAACCATTTTATACTCCGTACAGTTATGATAAAAGTGTGTTTCTCCATTCATTTGTCTTTGAAATATTATTAACCCCCCCCCCCCAACGTCTGTAGACTGATCACAATAAACATTAAATCCCTGTTCCATTTTCTGATTTGCCCATACCTCTTAAAAGCTGCATGCCTCCAGATGAGATACAATATTTCAAGAAAGCCAAACTTGAGAAAAATGTACTGACGTTTTAAGAAATGTAAAAAGATTCAAGATAAAAGTAATTTTTTCCATGTAATGTGCCATTTATGACCGATTCTGTGGTATTTTTCACCATATTTCTACTGCGTTACTAACGCAGTAAGGGCTTTTTGTATATTTTGACCTCTTTTTTTAGTAAATTAAATGAATTGTGCAACATGTAAATCATTTTAATTATTCACTTCACAATTTTTTGCTTTTTATTTCTTTTTCAAATTTTTCATGTAAATTAGCAGAGATCTGGAGGTGTGCTGCTTTAACAACGACAGAATGATCCCCAAAATGAGTAAAGTCTAAGTGCGAAAATAAATTAGTCCCGCATATATATATGCCATAAGTCATGAGTACCCTAGACGGGCCTCTTTTGTAATTCCTTGTGTATGCGATGAAAACCGAAAGTATCCGAAACTGTTTCTATGTTCAAAATGGCGGACGAAGTTATTTTGACAACTGATAACGGGGACTAAAATGGAAAATTGCACGATTAACAAATCATTATTGAATGAAAGTACCCTTATTCGAGGATGCTGAATATACCATGCTATTAAGATCGCTGATGGCTGCAGTAAGGAAAGGTAAGAATGAGATACCGGCGTGAACAGGTACCCGCATCGAAGTGGAATAGTATTTCGGACAGGGGTAGTTTACTTATCTTTTTGCTTGTTTTACCACATTTATTGAATGTAAGTTGTATTCGGTGTAACATGTACCGTAGTTATGAACAGCGACAAGTAGTACGTGAAGTATTAAGCAGTAATAACTGTTAAATATTGTTAACTTGATTCTGATAATCTTGAAGGAATCATCTTGACAGACGAATGTCCATTTAAAACATAATATGATCTTTTTATTTCCACAATGATTATCTTGTTTTCAGATTTGATCAGATTCTAAATAAATTGAAAGACATTCCAAAATATGTTTAAAGTTTAAATAACACTTTTAATTAATTATATTCAATTGCAAACAGGAATTCCCTTTATTATTATTGAGCAATTAGCGATCAAATGTGTCAGCCTTGTTCTGTCAGCACACTGGGCTAAATTGTCCTTTAGGTGACAAAATGTTTTCACAAAACAACTTTTATTGAGTGATAAGCATTAAGGAATTGGCTTATGTCTTGAAGGGTTAATTGGTGCTTGTGAGAACTACACTGCATGAAATTTGAAAAGAAATTTAAAATGTAATTATATAAAAGAAAAATACACTCGTTAGGCGTAGTACATAATATATGTATGTGTTTTCAAATGTTTTGTTTAAATTCAATGATAGCTAAATATATTTATATACATCTGTATTTAAATAAAACAAAAAATTCTTATTGCAAAGAGTTTCCTCCTCATTATGTACGCAAAAGCGAAAGTAGAAATAAATGATGCTCAACGGTGTCGGATTTTTCAATTTTTTTCTGTCCCGGTTACATATAGACCCGGTTATAACAAGGAATCATGCGAAGTCCTGACGATCTCGTTGTATCCGGAGTGCACTGTAATCTCTATTAAAACCACCCTTCCCTTATAAATGCTTTGACTGAGTGATTATTTCTAAATTATGATCATTTATTTTTTCAGGGCCATCAGGGGCCTTGGAGAGAGTGCCTTCAGCTGGTACTAGAAATAAACCTATAGGTGCACCACTTAGAGCTATTCACCCTAACAGTAGTCCAGTGTACAAGACCCATTCAGAGTCGGCACTTACTGCAGGATTATCAAAACTGACTATAAATGACAATAAAAATAGGCCAGTTCAAAAGTAAATGTTCTTTTTCTTATGATTCTTTTGAAGTTTAGATATTTGATATTTATGAATTTTGCATTACAATATTTATCATGCAATAGTAATTTGCCTCTCCCACTTCCAAACTCTCAAAGGAATATGGGGGATAGAGGAAGAGAGGGAAATCACTTGTTTTTCTGTCTTCTCTCTTACTTTTCCTGTGTGACTCAGTGAAATATAGTATACTATTATTGAAAATGCTAAACACATTTCAAAGGTAAAGGCTAATAAACCTGTCATGAGAATAATTATATATGTGAATTGTGTTCTTTCATGTCTGTGAAAGACTGATGAAGAAAAGCTGTTTGCATTTTTTCTCATTGTTTACATTACATTTATATATATTTATACTGGTTTTATTACAGAACATGTACATTATTTTGTATTGTTTCTAGGAGAGTACTATCAGGTCGTGCAGGTACAAATGGTTTGGTCAAACATGTATCAGATGTAGCCGGACTGCTGCAGACAGAGGCTGTAAAAAATGTTGTAATTGTAGCTGGGGCTGGCATCAGTACCCCAAGTGGTATTCCAGACTTCAGGTGAGTTATGTACATGTATAAGTGATATGTGGCACCAAGTGTAAGTCATAGAGATTAGTGAATTGGATTCTTTTTATTTTCTATCACAAGTGAGAATTTATCGACTACCTACATGTACATTCACTTGGGAAAAAAACACACACACACACACAAAACATACAGTCTTTTGTTGAGGTCAATGTAACTCATAAATTGTGTAATTTCTTTGATGTGGCATTTATCATCTGTTTTGGTATTGCCAACCTATGAAATAAACATGTTACAACATAGATTCACATATTACTTGATTTTTTGTGTGCTGATATTATAATATGCTTTTTGTCAAGTTTCTGAAATTTTTAATACATGAAAGTTTTATTATGATTATTATTTATCCCAAAAAATATGTAGAATATTATAACCATTTTCATATTTCAGGTCTAAGAGGACTAAAAGAGTAAAATGTAACAGTATGTTTAGTACCAAAACAATTGTTTTTATTGTACTGTTATATATATTATACACATATCATAATTGTAATGTGGGTTTTCTGTAAAATGTAAAAAACAAGCTTTAAGAGTATTCACTGTTAACTTTGTAAAACAAAAAAAGATGAACCCTTGTACCCCTTCCCTCATTTTGTATAAATATTGTGAAATAAATGTGTAGTGTATCGTATAATTATGTTTAGTATACTACATCGTCTTAAAGATATGGTGGAAAGTATGATTCTAATCTTGATAAATTTATTGAAGACAGGTGTTCTTGGGAGGAGTTGCATAATGGGTTTTAACTGTGTAGCTTTTTGGAAAAAAGAAGAAATTTAATATTTTCATTATTGTAATACCAACAACTTTTTCACAGTTGTTTCTCTATAATGTCACAGTATGTATAGAGGTGTTGAATAATTGGGGAGAAATGAGCAGCGGGTATATTAGTCTATTACAAAGGTCCCTGGTCTACCCTGTGGTGTTTTTACCTAATGGGGCACCATGATGGTATATAGCTCTGAGTCATTTTGTGTTGTTTTCTGTGCTCATTAAAATTTGAAGATAATTTTCTGGATAGCATGAAGTGTATCAAAATATAAAACTGTCCACTAATAGGGGAGAAATTAATAAATGTTTGGGTAGCTCAGTCATTAGATCTGTTAAGCAGTATTATGAGAGTTCTTAGTTTAAGTCCCAGTTAGGCTGCACATCTTTCTTACCCTGTGACATTCATGGAAAGAGATAATATATCGCTCTTTGAGAATATATGGTATTTGGGCTTACTCATGGGCTATGAAGCAGATATAACAGGCCAGACTTTCATGAAATGCTGCTATTTCCCTAAAGCCTATGATCAAATTTTGATTAACAGTAGTATTTTACTATATTAAAAATATATAACATCTGCTTTGAGCTGTCTCCATTAATTAAAAGTGGAGAATTTCATCAACTATTCATGCTAAAGGAAAAATCTTAATTCTATTTACCAATGCATTATATGTGTGTTGTAATTGTCAGGTATCCTATAATAATGGTCTTGTGAAAGAAGTTGTGTTATATTTACATAACCATTCAAGACGGTTAAATTTCAATTATGTCTGTCCTATTACATTAATGGTTTATCCAATTTATTTTCAATTAATAGGATTAAAAATCAACTTATAAACTTATTGAAAATCTGGGTAATTTTGTTGTAATGTGATATGTGTTAATCATATACTGAGCTAGCTGTTAAAAGAAGATAAAAATCTCTTTAAACTATTAAGATATGATAAATTGGTAATGTATTGTTAACAGTTCATAAATATATAGTTAACCATCTTTAAACATACATTTGTTAACAGTTTAACTATTGTATACAAATAATTTAAATGCTATTAAGTATTTTTATACAATACAAAAAGTATATTACTAGTATACTATTTACCTAGTTCAAACGAAATATAATTTGGAATTGAAATGTTTTTTTTTTTAATCTAGTTTTAACATGCATTTGACCTATATTGGAACAATAATATTTACAAAATGCCTTATAATGATTTCTAGCTGGTATTGTCACTGTTATAGTTTGTACAGTATTCATTGATGAATACATTGATTTTGTTTTTTCTTTTCTATAAAAAGGGGTAAATCCCCTTTTGGTTTGTTGGGTCATTTTTTTGTTCACATTTTTAGGGGAAAAATATCAAAATAATATGTTAATATAAAATTCAGAAAACCTGTCAGGTGGCCCAAATTAATGCCCTTTTTTGGTTTTATGTAAATGGGTAATTTTTTTACTATTTATTACATTAAAAGGGTTTGACAATAAAAAGGGGTTTAAAAAGCTAAAAGATTCTTTAATCAACATTCATGTTTTGCAGTCATACTGTTTTCTGAAGAGTAAATTATGATTAAATTATTATGACAGAGTTTAAAATTCTTTAGCTACATGCAGGCTAAGGGTTATGCATAGTAGAAACTGAAAGATTCTTTGATCAACATTCTCGTTTTACACTTATACTGTTTTCAGAAGAGTAAATTATTATTAAAATGTTATAACGGGGTTTGAAATTCATGTTTACAGTCTTTTGACCATATTAGTGCTACAGTTTTCTTATTTCAAATATAGCTAACCAATGCAAGTTCAAAATACATAGTAATACACATCAACACCAGGGTAGATATAGCTGTGAAATATTATGCAGGAAGTGCTTTGCTGGTATCCTGCTATTCAAGAAGGCTTCTGTTATGTATATACTTGTTATCATTTCTGTTCTTGTGCCTTATAGGTCACCGGGTACGGGACTGTATGACAACCTTCAGCAGTATAATATACCATACCCTGAAGCCATCTTTGATATAGATTACTTCTTTGTCAACCCTCGTCCATTCTTCACCCTAGCGAAAGAGCTTTACCCGTCAGGAAAATACCGACCTAATTACATACACTACTTTGTTAGACAGCTGTACGATAAAGGTCTTTTACTACGCATGTATACACAAAATATAGATGGGCTAGAGAGATGTAAGTTATTACAGTATTGATTTGTTCAAGCAATGATAAATGTTAAACCTCTTCATAGATTTTTACTGAGTTACTAAACAAATTCTTGCTTCGTCCAGATTCTAGTTTTAATGTCATACTTAGATAATACAAACTTGGTCTGCTATTATTGTATATGTATATAGAGGATATACAAGTTTTTTTCTGTAAATACAGGATTTATTTTCATCGAGTGGTGTGAAATATGATTATTTTCATATCATAAGATGAAAATAAATCCTGTATTTATAAAAAAAAACCTGAATTTTCTGTTTATTATATACTCTTTCTTTCTTTTTTTTAATCTTACATTTCTTAAGACTTCTCCTTTAATTAAGTGTATTGGCTGAATTAAAAAAACATAATCCAGCAAGACACCTGTGAAAAATACGGAAAATATGTTTCACTGGAGTGAAAAATGAATTACTACAGTGAAAATACGGAAAATGAAAATACACATTTTATTTCATCGATATTTCTCAATATTTTATCTATAAAACTAAATATATAATAAATGAAGTTATATCTACTTTGTTTATTTGGTATTATTACATATTAACAGTGGCAGGAGTACCAGCAGAGAAGATGGTGGAGGCTCATGGGACATTTGCTACAGCCACATGTACTATCTGTAAACATAAAATGGAGGGCTCGGAAATAAAGGTAACATACTTTAATCATTAAATTGCTTGAAATGTTGATGTTATTTCTGAGACAGTGGAATCATTGATAGCATGTCAATATCTTTATAAATATTTATTATTTAGGTTAAATTTTCTCTGACAAAGGTACTTTGAGATCCTTACAGATTATGATATTCTCTTTTTAAAGCATAAGATTGATTGATTGATCGATTGACTGATGTTTGATTGATTGAGCTCAGAATTATGTGAAAATGCAATGTTATTAAGTACAGTTGACTCTCAATAAGTCAAAATCGCTTTACTCAAAATTCCGCCTTAGGCGAATAATTTCTAAAGTCCCGTCAAATTTCCTTCTTTATCTTTGTATTTTTACTCCGCTTAGGTCAAATTTTGACTTACCGAGACTCCTGTTTAGTCGAAAAGAAAATTTGGTCCCGTCAATTAAAGTACAACATATTTTCATCTCAATTAATAGTCGAAGTGTGAAAACAGCCGACTGATCAAAGGTCGGCGACATCAAGGTGAGATGTTGTCACTCGTGATTTACACGTTTTATAGTAATTTTTAATTGCCGGTCATCATGTATTATTAACACGTCGTAAAAGTGGCTTTAATCCGTTTCAGGACTTAATTGGTTTTAACAGTTAGTTAACTAAATTAAAATTTAATTACATTGCTTTAAGAAAGTTGACTCGTGCCAGTCTGACGGGTGTTGGTCAAATAAAAGCCTAGGTATTGATGTGTGTTATCAACGTAAATAACATTTGTATAATTATTGTTACGTCATATTGCATACATTATTTTGTACTTCCGGTTCACGATTGTTGCTAATTTCATTTTCGTCCGATGATCAAATAAATCAAATATAATTGTGTGTTTATGTTTCACTATTAATATACATGTATTAAATTTTGAACGATATATTTTTGTTCATTTATAATTTGTAGTTGTAAGTTATTTACCATCATTTCAATGGTCAAATATTGCAGCATTGCCGCTAACAACAAAAACAACCTACTTCTTTACACATTCAATCAGGCACATGTATATACATGTACGAATGTCAACGTAATGGCGGTAGTTTCACATTACTCGAATTCCGTTTCTCTCGAAGTAAAATGCCCAGTCCCTTGGATTTCGAGTTACCGAGAGTCAACTGTATATAGTCAGCAAGTACTCAGGTTTTATTTTCTTTATCTAATCATATTGTTTATAATTTTATATTATTAGGAGAAAATCTTCTCAGACAAACTACCAAGGTGCCCTACACGAGGCTGTATAGTGAGTTCATCTTTTTATCTTCTATTTTTGATTGATAGTAATGAATGTACATAGAGTTAGCAGTTTTTTCTTACTTGTGTCCTTCCTTTTTACCACCACATTTACTTTTCGTCATAGCATCTCCATTAATGGACTGATACCTTACTTGTTTAGTGTAATGATTCCTGCCATTGACTTCTACCCTTGTGTAGAGTTTCATTCAATTAAGTCAAGGTCACGGAGGTAAAGAATATTCTTTTCTTGTAAGTCAGGCCATGTCTTTAGCAAAACGGAACACCAAGTCTTGTCTTATATTTATGCAAAAAAATACAGACCTACATGCTTTTTATTGCCTCAGTTTGAAAAAAGACACATTTAGTTTTCTTTGCTTACTTGAGAATATGTTCACTTTTTTTCTCTTTAAGGGAATAGTAAAACCAGATATTGTGTTCTTTGGTGAAGATTTACCACGCAAATTTTACAGTTATATGAAGGATATGCTGCAAGCAGATTTGGTTCTAGTCATGGGAACATCTTTAGAGGTAAGAAGCTGTAGTGAAGTAAACAATATAGATTTATGGTCAACTCATCAATATAGTTGTTTTCAGCATATTTTCATTTTCTTTCATCCATTACAATAGACATATGCCACAGAAAAAGATCCAGACCTGTCATCACATTCATGTAGTCTGAACAGACTACATACTTTACATATAGGTGGCGCGATAGCTCATTTGGTTAAACCACTGATTATCACTCCTGAGGTCCAGTGTCGATCCTGGGTTACATCCTTGGGATTTTTCAGAGACACTTTCAGTGTTACCCACCTACCTAGAGGTGTACTGGTAAGAAATCCAGGTAATACATGCATGTATCAGTGCTATACACTGGGCATGTAAAAGAACCAAGGGGTCTATTCAATAAGAGCTAGGGACTGGTTCGTGGATTCCCTTGTATCTCAAAGCTGTCTCTTTAATGTATACAATGTATACCTGCTTAGAGTGATCGTAAATGATTTTAAAGCAGTATGAAGTAGAAGTACTTCTGGCTGCCCATTTTGATAATGATGTTGTTTATAGTTAAAAACCCTGAAAATTGTCATTGAACTGTTCCAGAGTAAAAGCAAAACAAATTCTCTATAAAAAATGATGCTATTCAAAATCATAGCAAAAATATTGCATAATTATTTTGTAAACATGTTGACATAAGAAGTTATCTGAAAGAGATTAGCTCTTATCGGTGACTGCTTGATTATTTTCAGTGCTGTTTGCACATCTAAAAAAATATTCCCAAAATGTTCCCATTAACTTAAATAAGAGATGAAAATTTCAGGGAAGTATATGTATTAATTTTACACCATGCATATATATGTAATAGCCGCCATGCTTCAGATAAATATCTTTATTTTACAAATTTTTAGGTTCAGCCATTTGCTGGTATTATAGACACCGTACGATTTAATGTACCCAGAATTCTGTTCAATAGGGAAGCAGTTGGTCCATTTAAATATCAAAGAAGAACTCAAGATGTTGTTGTTACGGGTAAAATATTTCATTGTAAAGTATTCCTTTAATGCATTGTTATTAGCTCGACTATTTGAAGAATAGTGAGAGCTGTTGAACTCACCCCAGCATCGCCATCACACTTTGGTTCAGTTTTTGAGTGCATGTTTGTATCTCCAAAACTACTGAAAGGAATATGTTGAAATTTCACACTTGTTTTCTGTGATTATCTAAAGTGATAGGAACAGGTTCGATTACTTAGAGTTATCTGTTTTATTGAGTTATGCCCCTTTTCTTACTGTTGACCACATAGAATAGCTTGTTTTCAATGTAACATTGCCATTTCTTAACTTATAATAATACATATTTAACCCTTCGCCTTCTGGTATTAGAACTTTCAACAAAATTGTTTTGCTATTTTAGGTGACCTCATAGACAACATGGTGAAGTTTGCCACACAGGTTGGCTGGAAAGATGACATGGTAGAACTGATTACAAAAATGGAGGGACAATTCACTATTGTAAGTAAAAATAAGTTTTAAAGAGGGCAAAATAACCTGATTTTGGACATTTTAACATTGTGTTTCTATTGTCAATTTTTTGTGTGTTTAATATTCAGAAAATTAATTGTGTGTTATAACTGTGTTTCTGGTTCTCATCGTACAAAATGTGTGTAATATATCACTTTGAAGTTCTCTACTGATTAAAAAAAAACACACCAAATATTCTTTGTGAATTAGACTGTCTTAAATGAACATTGTCTTTCTACAATAGACAATTAATTATTTTCATGGAAATTGCAAAGGGATGTTACTTCAGCATTGTAATTCAGGGAAATAAGTCAAAAATAGTTTGAAATTTTATAGAAGAATTTTTTTTTGCACATGTTAATCATCATAGTAAGATGGGAAGATGTATTGTTTTTAAAGCAGCATACCTCCAGATTCATGCTAATTTTCATAAAAATTTTGAAAATGTATTAAAAAGTAAAATATTGTGAAGTGAATAAAGAAAGTAGTTTAGACAATGCAAATGGCACTTTTAATCAAAGTAAATTACCAGAATGTACTAAAATAGCTCTACTGCATTAGTCACGCAGTAGAAATATGGTTATCAATACTGCAAAACCTGCAATTTATTAGAGGTTAAGACATTATGCACATCTTCGGGCCATTATCGCATAATGGCGAGCAGCAACCAAGTATTAACGTCTTTAATACCTATGTCTGAAATACGGCGTTTAGACATCGCCGCTTATCTTGGTTGTCGCCCTTTCTTAGAAACGAACAGTTGTCAATGTAAACAAATACTGTACCTGTCATGTACAGTTTAACCATCCGATTAACTTGGAAAACATGACAACACAAAATAAATATAAGGAAATGTTGTTTTATTGTTGTTTTTATCGATAAATACAGTATCCTTCTCTTTACATTTTTGTGAGAATTACATTTAGATCAAGTGCCAGTTATTTATGAAGTTTTGTGCCTTCAATCTTGAACGGTTTTTGAGACTGATGTCAAGGTCTGAATGCCACCGATCCGATCTTTTTCCTACCGTCAATCTTAAATCATTTTTAGAATTTCTGAGGGTCATGTATTGTCTTGCGTTTATAAATCTTTAATGTTAAGCTTTGCTGAATGTGATTAATAATGCCATTTAACTTTTAAAATATTTTGTGTGCAAGTGACTTCAGTTCATTCGAAGTCAGCAGCTATCTTGAAAAGCACTGAGAGTTGATTATGTCATTCTGCATGTGCGCTCATTCTCTCGCCCATTATGGAAAAATAATGCCGAGTAACAAGGCGGCCAAAATTGCATAATGCCCTAGATCTTGCCATAATGGCCCTGAAATACCCTAGATTTTGTTACTATATATAGTAACATAGGTATTAATAGCAAATAATATGTAAATTATTGCTTGAATTTTGAATCTTTTTACTTTTCTTAAAAATAAGTTCATTTTTCTCAAGGTAAATTTTCTTGAAATATTTTGGCTCATCTGGAGGCATGCAGCTTCAAAGAATCTTCTTGGTATTTCATAAGTAATTGCCTCTGAACTTATTAGAAATACAAAAATATCCATATACAGTCTTTCCTTAGAAACATTAGATTTCAAAAAAGCTGAAACAGAATTAATATTTTTCAAAATACTCTTATAATGAATATGAAAAAAATTAGGTGTTCAATGTGCTAAATGACATTTATTTGGTGGGGGATATAAATTTATCAAATGTACTTGTTGATTGTGAAGAAACAGACATGTTACTCAAGCTATGACCAACTTTCACTTTGATAGATTGTTAAAAAAGAACTTGCCACTGGCACTCAATCAGAAGAGAACTTCTTATCACCAGGACTGAAGAATAAGTCAGTCTACACTAGCCTTCTTTGTGTTTGTTCATTTTTAATTTCTCTATATTTTAACTGAAATAGTTTCTATCAAAAGCCAAGCATTGTCTCTTAATTAGAGGGAAGAAATCTGTTTAACAACTTTTCTTTTGTTTCCATTTTTTTTATAACATTTTGGACAGTTTTAGCACATGATTTATTGTAATGATATCTATGCAACAGGAAACAAGGAAACGATTACCCCCTAAAGGACCTTCTAAATCAACTACAGGGAAGCAGGTAACATAATCTCCCCCAACCAGCACATTAGTTCATCTTTTATACTGTTAGAATGTAGAATATACTTTATCTATACATCAAGCATGCAACTACTTTTTAGCTCGACTATTTCGATGGATAGGGAGAGTTTTCGTACTAAAACCCAAGGCCTGTGTCGGTGTCACCATCACACTTTGAATAAGTTTTTGCTATGCAAGTTGTTATCTTCAAAATCTACTGAAATGAATGGTTTGATACTTCACACTCTTATTCTCTGTGATAATCTGATATGATGGGAAAAGGTCACATAACTCTGTTACCATTTTACAGAGTTATGCCCCTTTCCTTACTGTCAAGCAATGAGAATAGGCGAGTGTAGTGGACTTGTTTTCATAAGATGTTTCATTTAGCTATACCATGTTTGTAGCCTCAGTATGAGATTTTTCTATCTATTTCTCTTTCTCTCTCTTTCTCTTTTAATGTACATAGAATAATAGAAATAAAAAAATTCTCACTTGTTGAAGAGATAATTCATCTGGGTACTTAAAAGCTTACTTTTTAATTTTCCATCCAAGATAATATATTTCTTTGTGAAAGTTTTGACTGTATCAGACTCATGGTCATAAAACAGATTTTTTTTTCAAGTAAAACATTCATAATTCAAAATTTTATCAATTTTGCTACCTAATTAGTAAGGCCCCCACGATTACACGTTTAAACGGATTTGTTTTGATTTTCATTCATAAACGTTAACAATATTGTTTACCGTTTAATCGAAATAACCATATTGTCTTACAAAATTTCTTAATCATTGCCTGTTAATTAATTTATTAATATTCATGGATTTTATCAATTATAGTGGTTTATTCCAAAGTAAAAGGAAAATAGGTATTTACAACCCTCCACACAGCACTACGGTGCAAAATTGCTCGTGACATAATACATTTTGGTAAAAAATGGAGTTACAATGTAAAAAATGTGTGCTGACTCAATCGTGATGTGCATTTTTTATTAGTACATGTGTAAAAAATAGAAAGAAAGACATCATTTGGCGACTCAAATACATGTTGTGTATAGAACATAGAGGTACCACCGTTTAAACGGTATCGTTTCGGTTCTTAGCAATCGTGTAAACGTTTACAAAAAATTGTAAACGTGGGAGCCTTACTAATTAGTGACATGAGTGATTTTCATTTCATCTAACTTTACATGCCAGAAATGCTTGAAGAATTATATCAAAAAGATGCTATTCCAAATGCTTTAAAGTCAATTTTCAATTAATTAGCAATCTGTCCTCCTATTTCAGGTCGGCTGCAAGGCCAGGAAAAAGGGGAAGGGATTTAAGGTAGATTGTGCACGCGTCTTTCCATCGCACAAGATATACATCAGTGACTGCGTTGTCTGCTATGCTAAAAATGGCTTCGTTAGTACCATAGGCCTTATTGTATACGTTAGATCTTAGTGGTTGTCAGGTGGTAGTTGGAATATTAGAAACTGTGTTGTTAAAGGTTTATCGTAATGCTTGTCTGGCGTTATTGGGGTGGAATATTCAGAAAATGGTATTGTTATAGTTACCAATTCAACGGTGACAGTCTCTGATACAGGCAACTAATAAAGTACTGATAAAGGTAGCTTGATTTACTTGTACAAACAAATAATATTTCATTTCAATGCAACAACTAACATTTAATTTCTTTCTTTATCAAAATACAATAAATAAATCTTTTAGTTTAAAGTATCATCAGACTGTGGTATAGAGTCAAGTCAGATTAAAAGCCGCCCTGGGTGTTTAGGGCTGACATAGGCAAATAATTTTTGCTGTTAGCATTTCATGGAATAAGCCTTCCAGGTTTTAATAACATTTGATATGAGGATGTTGGTGACAATGATAGAAAATAGTAGTGTGTTCTATATTAGCCCTAGTATATACACCTGTACATGTATAGATATTAGATAAATTAGTCATATCTTTATTCATGCTAGGTTATCATGCTAAACACTAAAGAAAGATTGTTGTTTGTTAAACATGCATGTGAATATTGTTGAATGGTAACCAACCTGTTCTGCATGATTGTATTCGTAACATGATTTTTATTTTATTTTTGGAACTACTTTTACAATTTAGCACAATGTTACTATTGAAGTAGAGAACCTGACCCTTGCACTTGGCTTAATGTAGATCATTTTGTATTAAGCAATCTTACTGTTGGCAAAAAAGGGCAAGGAGCCACAATAAGTCTGGGTGCTTGTTAAGATACTAGAGCTGGGAAACAGCCACATCATGTCTGGGTGCTTGTCAGGAAACAGCCACATCATGTCTCGGTGCTTGTTAAGTTGCTTTAGCTGGGAAACAGCCGCATCATGTCTGGGTGCTTGTTAAGGTGCTTTAGCTTGGAAACAAGCCACATCATGTCTGGGTGCGTGTAAGGAAACAGCCACATCATGTCTGGGTGCTTGTCAGGAAACAGCCACATCATGTCTGGGTGCTTGTTAAGATGCTTTAGCTGGGAAACAGCCACATCATGTCTGGGTGCTTGTCAGGAAACAGCCACATCATGTCTGGGTGCTTGTTAAGATGCTTTAGCTGGGAAACAGCCACATCATGTCTGGGTGCTTGTTAAGATGCTTTAGCTGGGAAACAGCCACATCATGTCTGGGTGCTTGTTAAGATGCTTTATCTGGGGAAACAGCCACATCATGTCTGGGTGCTTGTTAAGATGCTTTAGCTGGGGAAACAGCCACATCATGTCTGGGTGCTTGTCAGGAAACAGCCACATCATGTCTGGGTGCTTGTTAAGGTGCTTTAGCTGGAAAACAGCCACATTATGTCTGGGTGCTTGTTAAAGTACTAGAGCTGGAAAACAGCCACCTTATGTCTGGCTGCTTGTTAAGATGCTTTAGCTGGGAAACAGCCACATCATTTCTGGGTGCTTGTTAAGGTACTATAGCTGGGAAACAGCCACATCATGTCTAGGTGCTTGTTAAGATGCTTTAGCTGGGAAACAGCCACATCAGTTCTGGAGTGCTTGTTAAGGTACTATAGCTGGGAAACAGCCACATTATGTCTAGGTGTTTGTTAAGGTGCTTTAGCTGGGAAACAGCCACAATCATTTCTGGTGCTTGTTAAGGTACTTTAGCTGGGAAACAGCCACATCATGTCTGGGTGCTTGTTAAGGTGCTTTAGCTGGGAAACAGCCACTCATGTCTGGGTGCTTGTTTAAGGTACTTTAGCTTGGAAACAGCCACATCATGTCCTGGTGCTTGTTAAGATGCTTTAGCTGGGAAACAGCCACATCGGTTCTGAGTGCTTGTTAAGGTACTATAGCTGGGAAACAGCCACATTATGTCTGGGTGTTTGTTAAGGTGCTTTAGGCTGGGAAACAGCCACATAATTTCTGGGTGCTTGTTAAGGTACTTTAGCTGGGAAAACAGCCACATCATGTCTGGGTGCCTTGTTTAGGTGCTTTAGCTGGGAAACAGCCCCTCATGTCTGGGTGCTTGTTAAGGTACTTTAGCTTGGAAACAGCCACCTCATGTCTGGGTGCTTGTTAAGATGCTTTAGCTGGGAAACAGTCACATCATGTCTGGGTGCTTGTTAAGGTGCTTTAGCTTGGAAACAGCCACCTCATGTCTGGGTACTTGTTAAGGTGCTTTAGCTGGGAAACAACCACCTCATGTCTGGGTGCTTGTTAAGGTGCTTGAGCTGGGAAACAGCCACATCACGTCTGGGTGTTTGTTAAGGTATGAGAGCTTGGAAACAGCCACACTATGTGTGGTGTTTTGTTAATGTGCCAGAGCTCAAAAACAGTCACAATAAAATGAAGGTCATGCCTGGTGTTTTGTTAAGGTGCTGGAGCTGGGAGACAACCACAATCAAATGATGTGACTGAAAATAATCTTAATGATATTACATAGTATTATTACTCTTTTACTGAATTTGGTAGAATGGCATCATAATTTCAGCACATATACCTCTGTGATAATAAAAGTATTCAAAATAAATCCAAGCACATAAACATTTGCACACATTATGTTTTAATGTTACACACCAGAATTATTTTTCATATGCATCATAATTATTTCACTTACAATTTTAAACAATTTAAAAATTATACGAAAAAATCTCTAAGAAACACAAGCACTGAAAACAAACAAAAATACATGACAATTGCAGACTAGGCCTTGAGAATGAATGAAGTAACACACAGAAGAAATATAAGAAAAAAGATATATATCAGATCATTGAAAAGGCATGAAATAAATAGTGATTTTTTTTCAAAGACTAGTTTTGTATCATGATTTGTATTGTTTCAATGTTGTTTTTTTTAATTTGTGTGTTATTGTTGGTGACCTTGCATGACTGACATTGCTTAATAATCCACATTCTAAACATTTCTTGGTCATCACATTTTCATTCGCATGACATGTTTTGTTTAGTTTATATAATTGTTAATATGTTTCTATCATTTTTTTGTACGAGTAAGAAACATGTCTCAGATATTTTGTGCAGGTATCGAAACTTTATGGGAACTCTTCTTAAACACTTGTTGTACACTATTAAGCAAAAGTTGTTATAGATATAATTATAACCGTTTGTATTTATTATGCATTACCAGAAATATGAGATGCTGATTTTTCATGTTACTGTACTTATTATTTCTTTATTTATTGCAGTTAAACAAAAGCCCAGCAACCCAACCAAGTCAAAATAGAGGTAACAGCTATAACTATGGGGCTAGGCGGGGACGACCTACTTTTAATTTATACGATAGTAACTCTTCATCATCGGAAAGCTCAGAAAGTGAAAGTGATGTCAGTTCCTCCGACTCTTCAGAGGAGGAGAACAAAAAAGGTAGATTCAGGGGACTTAATCGTGGGAAACTTTTAAATAATAATAATTTAAGAAATGGTGCTAATACAAGAAGTAACGGTGTTAGAAGTACAAGTGCAAAACTCACTGATACAAATAATAAAAGAGATTTACATACTCAGAGAAACATAAACTCCGGAAAAAATTCTCCCGCAGGAAGTTTCACCGGAAGGAGTGTCAAATCTGAGAGCTCAGTCAATGCGTTGCTCACAAAAAGGAGACTGGAGAATTCAAAAAATGTTACGTCCACATCAGATATAAGAACTAACGGAAAATCTGACAATGTTTTAACGCAGTCAAAGAACAACATTCCACCAGTTGTTGAAAAACAGAAAGTGCAGCAGGCTGAGAGAGAAAAGGTGCTAAAGAAATATGGTTTAGGATCTCAGTCAGCTCTCAATAACAATCCTACACTTAATAATCAAACCAAAATTACCAAACTTTCACCAGATACGAATGTTTCTTCTAACGGGGCTATAACACCAGTGGAGAAAAATGTGCCAGTAGATACTTTTGTGAAAGCTAAACCTCCTGTGAACAGAAAAGATAAACCTTTGAAAACTGTGAAAAGTGACAGTCTCATTGCATGTTCTGGTTACTTTGTTGAAGATGTTAAACTAAAGAAACCTGTTAAAACCAATGCTTTTGAAAACGAAAGCGAAGAAAAGACGTTTGGATTCAAAGGTGATAGTAAGAAAGAATTTGAAGAATCTGTCAGGGTAGCAGAAATGGATGCTTACATATCAAGTGAAATAGAAACATTCAGGAAACAGAAAAATGCAAAGCATTTAGAGAAAAGGGATATCATAAGGTTGACCAGAGAAGAAGGTGATGATAGGGTTGAAATTGATAAACAAGAATCACCTGGTTTTATAAGAGAAACACCTATAAAATCACAGTCATTCGAAAATGGAATTAAACAAGACTATTTAGAGCAAGAAGGCTTAATTAATGATAATGAAAGCAAAACTGAAAGTGATCAAGAAAATCTTTTGGTAGCTAATAGTGATAAAAAATTTGAAGATGAGCCGGAAAATCAGAAAGTTGTAGAACATAACAGATGGAAGAAGGAGACTTCAGCGAGGGATAAGGTGTTACAGTTACTGGATAAGAAAGTGAAAGGTCCTATTGAAATTAACAGCTGTGCAAGCTCAGTGACTAGCAGGAATGACAGCAGAAATGATAAAGGGTCAAAGGTGCTTTCAGAAAAAGCTGCAAAATCCTTTTCAAAGTATGCGAAACTAGCATCAGGCAAGAAAGGGAAAAAGAAACATGGTAAGAAACACAGAGTAAGTCAAAAAGACAGTCCTTCACCTGGAGCTAAGACTGGTAAAGCTTTGTTAAAATCTGTGAACTCTCGCCCTTATGGGTATGCACATAGACAAGCAAATGTTGTAAAAGGCGTTGGCCCTTTCCATCGGATAAATAAACGAACTTTAAACAGTGCCATTGAACAACCGCTATCAGTTTTAACACCAAGGTCAGGTTCTGCTGATTTACCAAAGATAAGTTATCGGCACCAAATTCAGCCAACTCCTACATTTGATACTCGAAATATTACTCAAAGGAACAGTATGTTGGTATCTCCAGATTTAGGAATCAATATTCCAGAAGAACAGAGATGATGAAAGTATAACTTTAGAATTTCATATACTTCATTTTAGAAGCAGTGTAGATAAATTTGAATTTTCCATATAATATGGAACATTATAAGTCATAAAAATCATCATATTAGAATTAGTTTGTGAAATTTAGTTTATACTTTATACAAATAATGAAATTGTTGTATGGTGAGAAATCGCAGTTTTATGGGTTATCACAATATTTTTCCTTATTATACCCCCGCACAACAAAGTTGTAAGGGGGGGTATACTGGAATCAGCTTGTCCGTCCGTCCGTCCGTCCGTCCGGCTGTCCGTCCGTCCGGCCGTCCGGCCGTCCGTCGGTTTTTTCTTGTCCGCCCAATAACTTAAGATTCCTTTGACCCTTAGTCTTCATATTTGGCATGGAGGTTAGTCATGATTAGTAGATGACCCCTATTTGATTTTGAGGTCACTAGGTCAAAGGTCAAGGTCACAGGGGCCTTGACTTCAAAAAGCTTGTCCGCCCAATAACTTAAGATTCCTTTGACCTACAGTCGTCATATTTCGCATGGAGATTAGTCATGATAAGTAGATGACCCCTATTGATTTTGAGGTCACTAGGTCAAAGGTCAAGGTCACAGGGGTTTTGACTTCAAAAAGCTTGTCCGCCCAATAACTTAAGATTCCTTTTGACCTACAGTCGTCATATTTGGCATGGAGGTTAGTCATGATTAGTAGATGACCCCTATTGACTTTGAGGTCACCAGGTCAAAGGTCAAGGTCACAGGGGCCTTGACTTCAAAAGCTTGTCCGCCAATAACTTAAGATTCCTTTGACCCACAGTCGTCATATTTTGGCATGGAGGTTAGTCATGATTAGTAGATGACCCCTATTGATTTTGAGATCACTAGGTCAAAGGTCAAGGTCACAGGGGCCTTGACTTCAAAAAGCTTGTCCGCCCAATAACTTAAGATTCCTTTGACCTACAGTCGTCATATTTGGCATGGAGGTTAGTCATGATTAGTAGATGACCCCTATTGATTTTGAGGTCACTAGGTCAAAGGTCACAGGGGCCTTGACTTCAAAAAGCTTGTCCGCCCAATAACTAAAGATTCCTTTGACCCACAGTCGTCATATTTGGCATGGAGGTTAGTCATGATTAGTAGATGACCCCTATTGATTTTGAGGTCACTAGGTCAAAGGTCAAGGTCACAGGGGCCTTGACTTCAAAAAGCTTGTCTGCCCAATAACTTAAGATTCCTTTGACCCACAGTCGTCATATTTGGCATGGAGGTTAGTCATGATTAGTAGATGACCCCTATTGACTTTGAGGTCACCAGGTCAAAGGTCAAGGTCACAGGGGCCTTGACTTCAAAAAGCTTGTCCGCCCAATAACTTAAGATTCCTTTGACCCACAGTCGTCATATTTGGCATGGAGGTTAGTCATGATTAGTAGATGACCCCTATTGACTTTGAGGTCACCAGGTCAAAGGTCAAGGTCACAGGGGTCTTGACTTCAAAAAGCTTGTCCGCCCTATAACTTAAGATTCCTTTGACCCACAGTCTTCATATTTGGCATTGAGGTTAGTCGTGATTAGTAGATGACCCCTATTGACTTTGAGGTCACCAGGTCAAAGGTCAAGGTCACAGGGGCCTTTACTTCAAAAAAGCTTGTCCGCCCTATAACTTAAGATTCCTATGACCCACAGTCTTCATATTTTGGAATGGAGGTTAGTCATGATTAGTAGATGACCCCTATTGATTTTGTGGTCACCAGGTCAAAGGTCAAGGTCACAGGGGCCTTGACTTCAAAAAGCTTGTCCGCCCAATAACTTAAGATTCCTATGACCCACAGTCTTCATATTTGGAATGGAGGTTAGTCATGATTAGTAGATGACCCCTTTGATTTTGAGGTCACTGGATCAAAGGTCAAGGTCATAGGGACTTTGACTTCAAAAAGTTTGTCCACCCATTAACTTAAGATTCCTTTGACCCACAGTCTTCAAATTTGGCATGGATGTTGATCATGACTATAAGGTGACCCCTATTGATTTTGAGGTCACTGGGTCAAAGTTCAAGGTCACAGGGACCTTGACAAAAAAAAAGCTTTTCTTCTCAATTGCTAAAGAATGTCCTGTCTGCAATGTATTGATTTTGACATTTTCACATTTGAAGCATGTAGAATACATAACTTAGCAATGCACTGGCTTAGTAACCTCAGATTTGGCAGGGAGGTTGTCCTTGCGCTCTAAATGGCCACTGTTGATTCTGACAAAGTGGTATGCGGGGGTATTCACGCCAAGATAGTGGCAGTTCTAGTTATATCTGTGGTCTTTTTTTATCAATTACTTGGGTAAAATCATGATATACGAGAATTGATGTCTTCCTATAGTTTTGCAGCATTACTGTTAAGTTTTTTATTTAAGTTTTTTTAAGGAGTTTTGAGTTGGGTTGGTGGGAGGTGGGTGAATAACTCGCCTTTTTGTTAAATTGTGACCCTGGTTTGACATTATAGTCATTCTTAGTCATACTGTTTGTCTTGGACAGTTTAATATTAATCCTATAATATGTAGGGTATAGTAAAGATAAACAGTTTATGTTAAAAGTTTTCAATACTTCGGGAATAATCTATTATGCTGACATTGAATTGAACTAATATTATAATAACAATTATTATTTATTTCTTCAAGAAATGCCTTTTCCAAGTCTATTGTCTATCAGCTTTGTAGATTTTAATACTCCTTTCCAGTTCCAACATAATATAACCTTCCTATGTCTTTATAATTATCATTAAAATTTACTTTCCAAAGTTTCCATCACTCTATAATGCAATGTCAGGACATTATTTGTACATCATGTGATATTAACCTCAAAACTTGCCATGACATTTCTTCTGCATAGCACATGTTTTAATTAACATTTATTTTGAATTAGAACCTACCATATGATATTTGCAAATATATTTAGAAATCTGACTATTTATATATTTGAAAGGTATTCTTTACCAAATTCAAAGTGTATCCCTACAAAGTACACTCAAATTTCAAAAACCTTGAAATTCAAATGGACTGTTTTAAAGTTATAGCAAGGCAAGTCCATTTCACTAAGTTATGGTAAAACAACTAAAAGATGTGTTTGGTCATCTTTATTTGGGAGATTGGTTGTTGAACAATATTTTATGAATTTCTGCGAAAATGAGTTATACATGTGCAAAATGATTTTTGATTGTTTGCATCTTAATAAGAAAGATTCTAAAGTATCATAATTGAAAGAATATCTATGACTTTTTTAAAGTGAGTTTACACATGTTCATAATCATTTATAACTCCATGTAGAAAGTGCTTTAGAAAACTACTGTATTTCTTTGGGAGTGGGATGAGAGTTTTATTCTGTTAGCATGTGACATTCATGTCAGTTAAATAAGATGAATACACTTCACTAAATCTCTGTTTAGAAACAATAATTATTAAAAATAAACATGATTCAATGAAATTTCTGTTATATATGCATTTGCATTGTCATCATTTGACACATTGAGTGATCATTATTACCTCCCTTTCCAATAATTACCTCATTTGTTTTTTTTCATCTTTTTTAAATAAAAACATTTACAGGGCAAATATGATACCATATAAAGGATTTATCAAGAAAATATTAAATTGTTTCATGTTGAGACAGAGTGTTTTATTTTTCTTGCATGAAAATTGAGAAATACCAATTGTAAATATGTTGTGGGGTCGAAGCCAAATAGTATCACAGTTTTGAAATTCAAACATGTGCTTCTAATTTGCACCCAACTTAAGATAATAATGTTGTTTCTGTGTTAGTTTAAACATATTTATGTATTGTGCTTGATTGTAATAAGTTCTTGCAATTTATCATGATTATGGTCACCTCAACTTCCTGAAACTAACCATTGTATGATTCTAAGTTTAAAAAGATATTTTCTAAGCTCAATCTCAGATCTCGGGTATTTGATTGGTCAGAAACTAAACAGAATGTGTACTGACACCAATACAAATTCTGAGACTGCTGATAGAATTTAGAAAAAAGGTTTTTAACCCCCATGCTAGTACTTGTGTCATTTAGAATAAAATGGTCATGAGCTGTGTACAACTCATTAAAGGAAAGCATGTTTTATTATCATGCCACTTCTCCCCATGTTTCTGTATTGATAATTAGATGTGATTGTATATTAGGTGATAATTTGATGAAAAAATGAATTTAAAGATGTTAAAGATTCATGTTAGTTTATTTATCATCTCTATGTATTTAGCTGTATTCTATATTCTGTTCACTAATTATGACTATATGAAATGGCTTATACTAGTCAACTTATTATCAGTTGTGAAATAAACAAAATCATTTTTGGATCGAAAGTTTATCATATGACTTCTCAATAATATAGGTTAATTGAAGATAAGTTTGTATTGATCGGTCACATGACAAAAATCACATACGTCAATGTTTCATAATCATAAATTTTATTTCGCAAGCAAAATGACTATATGTTATTATCATTTATATTATATATGTTTAGATATTTTGCAATCTACTATGTATGTATCACATGCACAAATATGACTGAAGAGGAAGAAATTTAAGTGTTAAGTACAATTGTGTTCTGGGGGTGATGTTTGAGTATGGGTAATGGTATCGTTGAACATATGTATACTTGAACCCTTAACCTGCTGGAACTGAAAGTGATTAGCCTTTGCCACCTGTATTAAGCTGGGCCTGCCTGTACGTTCATGCAGTTTGAAATAGACTCTATACTATTGGCTGACCAACTTCAAAATTTCATCTTGATATCCCTAAACTTGCTAATGGATAGTTCCAAAAATGGAATTTGGACAGGTTCATTTATGAATTTCAACAGTTTAAAGGTTAAATTTTGCTGAAGTTTTATAATAAAAAGGTTTTATTTAGGAGTATCTTGATCTATTATTTGTATTTGGTTCTATGGATTTTACTATAATAGATCACATGTGGCACTTTAGTGCTTTGTGAGATCTTGCCCATGGAAATCTACATTTCTAGAACAAGATATTCTTATGATAAACCCTATTTTATTATTAGAACAAATTATCAGTTACAGAAAAAAATATCCTAGGTTTTGTGATCATTGTGACAAATTCATTTTGACTTATGTAATTGACCTTAACATTAACCTGGCTATTTTATTT